CTATTTTTAAGGCGTTAAATTGGCTTTTTTTAACAAACATAAACATGGATAGGAATAAAAAAATAAAAAAAATAAAAATATAAGTGTGAAAGGCGCCCAATGCTGCGCATTTTTTTCATTTCTTGGTCCGCAGGGGAATTAAAAATAACAAAGAAGAAAAAAGAAAATTGCAAAAATGAAGAATGAAATGAAGAAGAATGTTAAAAGACTGTTCCTTTTTTTAATAAAGTAGTTTTTTAAAAATCCAGAAAATTAATTTATGGGATCGGGCCACCCCAGAAGGCTCGCAGAAGGTCAACACCCCAGGAAGAAAGGTCAACAGAAGGTTAACACCCCAGGAGGTCAACGCCCACGAGGTTAACTGACCGAGAAGGTCAACTACCTAGTGGTCAACTGACCCAGAAGGGGTGAGGGCAATCGTGAAAAACGCAATGAACTCCCCCTGATCTGAATTAAAATTTCGTTTATCGAGATCATTATTTTTCAAGACACCGAGCCCAAGGACTCCTCCAATTAAAAAAAGGGGCAGGTGTTCTTCTGGATTTAAATGTAAAATAAAAATAATTAAATTTTAAAAATTATGGGGGGATATTAAATTCTATATGGCTTCTTATAAGAAGATTGAAAAGAGGAAAATGGAATGAAAAAAAATTAAAAAAAAATGAGGAAGGAAGCACTGCAAAAATATATAGAAAAGAATATTTCCGGTGTTCACTAAAATTAAATGAGCATTTTAAAAATATAACATGGCTATTATATTTTTTATTAAAAAATAAAGGGTCCCAGTTATCTCTGCAAAAATTATTTTTGAATCAAATTGCAAAAATAAATTCAGAAAAAAGACTGTTTGGTTAGCATGAGAAGACTAAAGAATAAACAAGAAAAGCTACATAAGGGTCCGGTAATTTTAAACAAAAAGGCCATAGTTCAAGTAAGACTGAAGGTCCTAGGTAATTCTGAACAAACGGACAGTCAAGGGTAAAGGTCAGTAGCAGTCAAGGGTGTTGAACTCTGGCCCCAAGATTTCAAATTCCTGGTTCCGGCATCAGAGCTACTAGCTCCCCGAGAGATGCCGAGCATTGCCCATTTAAATGGTATGGTACCCTGTACTTCAGAGGAAAAATTATTTCCGGAGGTTCCAGCGTAGTGGGTAGCAGAGGTCGGTCGGAATTCCGATTTCCGAAAATTTAGGCTGATTTCCGATTTTTATTTTTAGGCTGGTTTCCGATCCATTGACATACTCTCTACGAATACAATTTTTCCCAAGTAATTTTTTTTCATTAATTCCAAAAAATACTAAATTTAGCCCCATTTCTTAATTCGTCATCTAAAAAAAAGTTAAAAACAAATTCAAGAAAGGAGGAATTATTCTTTCCTTATTAAAAACAAAATCCCCGCTCTTTCCCCTATTTAATGACATCATTTACGACTTTACTTTTCCCTTGTTTTCCAAAAAAGTTTTTGTTGTCTGGGCACCGTTTATTCACTAAAAATATGCAAAAGCGGTGCAATCCTCTTTAATAAAAGATGAAAAAAGAAGATTGGAAAAAAATAATTTTTTGAGGGTTATTTAAGTAAAGGTGTTGAAGTATAATGAATTTTGAAAAAATTGTGAATGACGATTTTTGTTTTTTCTTCCTTATTAAATTTTGAATAAAACAAGAAAAGATTAAAGATGGGAAAATAATTAGAGTTTTGCCCATATGAGAGTGAAATAAGCAACATTTTTATAATAAGCAACATTTTTTTTAGCTAACATAATTTAATTAAAGGCAGAACAGGCTTTTGAGTTTCTATCTTAATAATATCTTATTAAATTAAAATTTCGGCACTATCTGAAAGGAGGTGCGGGATCATATTTTTTCCTCCTTCCTTAAACAATCTTTCATTTTTCCTCAATATGAAAAAATGGTCAGTCTTTTCCACGCTCTTAATTTTCCCTGTGGCATATTCAAATAAGAGACATTAATAAGGTAAGGATTAATTTTTTCTCATTGCCATTGTCAGGACGGAACAGACAGGAGATGGAACGACAAAAAGGTCGGACAAGTCACCGTCTTACCAGATCACAGACCAGATCTTCGGTCAGTTTTTGGTCATTCCGTGTTATGGTCGCTCTGTTATTTGGTCGTTCCTTGATTTGGTAAGACGGTGTTTTGTCTGTTCCGAGTTTTGGTATGATCCGTGTCTTGTCTGTTCCGTAAGTTAGCTTGACACGATTCAAAAATCATAAATGATGACCATTTTCATTTGAATATGCCACAAGGAATTTTAGTAAAATAAGGAAGGAAGAAAAACTGACCATTTTTTTATATTAAGGAAAAATGAAAGGTTGTGTAAGGAAGGAGGAAAAAATATGATGCCGCACCTCCTTTCAGATAGAGCCAAAATTTCAGCATCTCATCTTCAACACAAGGGACTGCCTTATAACAAGAAGAATAAGGGAGTCCTCCTAAAGGGAGTGGATTCCTTCTACTATTTATTTTCACGATCTTGTTATTTTGCCTAGAATTTAAAATAATCTCTTACTTATTAAGGCTTATTTTGATTACTAGAATAGTATAAAATGTTTAGTAGCCTGATCAAATATAAAATTACTACGGTCAATCAAAAGACATGGTTCCAATGGGAAGGAATCCGGTATACCATGGTAGGGAGGCAACCGCGCCCTGTAAATCCCGAGGAAAGGGTTACTAATAACAAGGAAAGGTTACTAATAATAAGTAACCTTTCCCCTCCACAGTTTTATAAAGTCGAGATAACTAATTATTTTGCCCTTATTTTATTAGGGCTGATTTTGATTCCCAAAATATAGTGAAAAAAATCTTAAATGCCCAGTCAATTAGAACAATTAAAAACTTATTTAATCCCTAGTCTTTTAATCCCTGATAAAAAATAGCTTAGTTTGTTAGTTTTTGTGGTTTCCTTCACCCACCTTTTTTTTTTCAAAATTAAAAACACTACCATGAAAAAAACAAAAATAAAATTAGAAAATGTAGGAAAGTACTAAAGATAAAAATAAATACTTGTAAAGAATGTTGAGGGGTTGTATTTATTTATTTTTTTAAATATATACTCCATTTAAAGCAATAAAAATAGAAGAGCAATAATGGCAAAAGTGAAGGGCCAGTAGTAGATATATTGAGCTTATGGCTTTTTTGCTTCTGAAAATGAGCGGAAAAGACTTGAAAAAAAACATTATTGGGGGAAAGGACTGGACAAAGAGGCGATAATTACACACAACAACAAAAAAAATAGAGGGGGTGTTCAATAAATATAGAGTGAAGTGCACGCGTGCCACGGCATTTTAACCGTTTTTTTAGAAATTCTTTAGGGTATTAAAAAATTAATAAATTTAAAATAAATCAAATTTGGGGGAAAATTATGCAAAAAATTTTGTTTATTGAATTTCTAAATAAAAAACCATTTTCTGATTTTTTGAGGGAACAGGAAGGACTAAATTAAAGTAAGAGGAATGCTGGTTAAACCCAAACCTTCGTAAGTGTGCTAGATTCATTTTAGAATGGATTGTGGTAATAGTGCTTAAAAATCTCGGATTTGCTCTTACTCGCACCTCGTTCCAACCCTATTTTTAGTTACATACTTTATAACGTTTTCTATTTTTGCTCGAACACGTACTTCGTATCATATACGAATACGAATTTTGGTACAAGCACGAATTTTGATACTGGTAGTAACATTCTCCCCCAGACTTTTTATTAAACCAATTAAAAGATATTCACCTGCGCAAAGAGCCTTAATAAATATAATAAAAGTTAACTTACCTAATAACTCAATTATTATGTACACCTTAAAAGGATGAAGGACTTTGCCTCGCTTACACCCACATCGCGTGAAATAAATATATCGAGAAAAGCAAAAAACAAAAAACTAATTTTCTCGAAAAAAAGGAAATGAAATTACATATAAAGCTAATAAAAAACGGTAAATTAAAAGAGCTTAATAGCTTCCTTTACTAAGTCAAAAATTAAAATTCCGTGCCTATTTTTCCTAAAAAATTTTTTGGAAGAGTTAAGAGAGAGACATAAAATTTCCGTGTCCTTTTTTCTCTTAAAACTCCAAAATTTCAAAAAAAAAATTCCAAAAAAATTATTTTTAATTTCAATTTGTATTTAAATTGCATGACAAAAATTCTGAAAATACCTAGTCTGAACTAACGAATAAGTCTGAACAAAAAAAATTTTGAGGAAAAAATCTTAATTATTCAAGTCAGTTAGTTAAAATTTGTACCGTTCCCTATTTTCTTAAATAAAAAAATTAATTTCTCAAATTAATTTTATTGATATTGAAAAAAAAAAATAAAATAAAAACGAGAAGCGGATTGATTATATATTTAAAAAGGATTTTTGTTTCTTTTTTTAGTCCCATAAAATAATTAAAGAGGAGGACTATAAAGCATTTTTACATTGTTTTTTGCCGAAATAAATTTTGATTTTATAAAAAAATTTGGCTTTAGGACATGCCTCCCCATGAGCTTTTATGCATCATAAGAGTATTATAAAAGCTCATGGACGCAGGTTTAGGTAGGGAGACATATCGAGACGGACATATCGGGGGATTGCAGTTGGTGACAGAAATACGAACTTCTTACGTATTTACGTCTGTCAGAGGTCGTAGGTCATTAAACCAGTAAATTAGCTGTTCATATATTGAAATATCACGATATATCCGTCCCGCCATTTCGATATGTCTCACCAAAGACGCATGTCCTAAAGGAGAGCCAAAAAATTTCTTTTTCCAAAAAAATAGTAGGGGAGGGAGATCAAATTCGCCTATAATAATGTGCTTGCTTGTTTGTATTTATTAATATTATTATTTGGGAATTTTTTTGTTGTAAAGGAGGAAGGAGGGGGGAGGGTATCTTTTCTCAAATTACTAAAAAAATATTTCAAAATACTAAAATTCTTCCAAAGACATGCAATAATACATCCATCAAAACGCCTTTTATATTTGAAGTATTCAAAGCTAGTATTATACTTTTAAATCGTCACTTGTGCCCCAAGTTCATCATCCATTTCACCACTATCATGTTCATCGTCAAACTCCTTTATAGAAAGAAATTTTAAAAATGTTTGATTTTTAAATAGAGTTCAATCTTTAGATTGGCGAGGAAGTCAAGGAAATCTCCCTATTTAGAAAAACGAGGAAGGAAAAACTTTCCAATGTCAAAGGCAGGGATGACACGGGTTACCCGAAACGCGGACTTTTTTCGACCCTTATCAGACTTTTTCCCTCTTTATTCCCCAACTTTTTTTCGGCTAACCCCGATCCAAAATAGATTTGAAAACATGACCCAAACCCCGGACTTTTTTACTCAACCCAAGACATCCCTAGTCCAAACACAAATAACAACCCTCAAAAAACGAAGATTGAACCCCATTTTTCCCCCTTCCATACCTCTTCATCATCATCCATTTCATCATCAAAATATGGTGCATTTGGGTGAAGTTGCGGTATACCACGATCCCCACCGCTACTAGTAGTTGTACTACCGCTAATGCCTAAAATTCGAATACGTTGTTGTTGTTGACCACCACCGGATGATGGCCAATAACTTTGTTGGTGGTGTTGTTGTCCACCCTCATTATTATTATTAGAATCACCAATAACCCCACCTTCATCCATATGCTGCAATTGTTGTGGTTTATCCTCATCATCAACTACATCTTGGTTTCTATTAACAATATCCATTCGGTGTAATTGTTGTGGTGAAGCAGAATCTTCTTGGTGCTGTTGTTGTGCAGTATTTCCTCCACAATCTTGAGTATCAGCGCCAGGAACTGTCCCTTGCTTGACAAGACGTAATTGCTCTTGTTTAACACCAACCATAACTTTCTGTTGTAATTGTTCTACTGAAAGTTCCAACTGACGAATCCTATTAGAAATTCTAAGATATTAAAGATTAAAAAAAATCAAACTTGTTATCCTTCATTTCCAATGCTGCTTGATTTGTCTGTTTCAAATGGTTAACATATTCTCGATGACTGGTAATAAGACGCGAACGATCGTCAACAATACGTTGATATTCAGCCTAAAAAAAATTTTTTCAAATGAGATAGTTTTTGCTAGAGCTGGACTCCCCTTCGGGGTTGAAAAGTACGGTATCGGGGTTTTAAGGGGTGAGACTTTCAGGATCAAAGTTTTAGCCAGAAAAGATAGGGGTTCAGGATCCAGCTCTATTTTTTAAATTAGAGAAAAAATATACCAGCATATGGTCAATAATATCATTAAATTCATCCACTGAAGTTCCAGCTACAACACGACCACGATAATTTTCCAACTCTCTGTTAACAGTAAAATTTGTTTCTGCAAGTTGTTGTGATTGTGCAGAACCCATAGTCATAGAAGACGGACGAAGTGCTTGAAAATTTGAAGTCATGCCCATCGGTCTATAAATTGAATATTTTTAAAATAAATTTTGATTATAAAACCTCAAAACTCTAACAACTGGAGGTTGTTGTCCTGGACGAGAAACTGGCACATCACTACTGGCAACAGATCCACTTCCAACAGTAGCACCACCAGATTGTAATGAGTAAATACTACCATTAGTTAATTGACGTGCTGTTGGAGAAGCAAAATAATTCTATAAAATTGATTAAAATTAAAAGAAAAAATATTTTAAAGAAACCACTGGCTGACGAATATTTATTCTTCCTCGCATAATTCCTCCACCAATCCCAGCCATCGCTCTTCCTCCACGAGGCCTTCCTCTTGGAATATTTCCGCCACGTGGATAAGTGGCAGTCGAAAAAATTGGAATCATTCCAGAACGTTGTTGTGGCGGTTGTTGTTGTTGCTGTAAGTCGCTAGTAATTCCTCTTCCTCTGCCACGACTGGAAAAAGAATCTCCTCCACGAAAACCTCCACGTCGTCCACGACTTGAAATATCAAAATCCTCATCATTTGGATCATCCAATACAAAGCGTGTTGGCCGTCCACGCTGATCATGTTCCTCTTCTTCGTCACTATATTCCTCATCTGGATCATCATACTGATCATGCTTTTCCATTTCTTGCTAAAATAAAAAAATTCGTTTATAGAAAACTTTGGATCAAACCTCTATTAATGCCAATTGTTCCTTATTCATCGCAGGCTGTGGATGTGAATGAAGACCTTTAGGAATTATTTTTCGTTGTTGCAAAATAATTCGTTCTGGTTCTTGTTGGTCACTTTTATCAATCTCTAGCTTTTCAATATTTTTTTCATCTTGTTGCTTGTCTGACTGGTCTCCATCATCCTGTGCCCCCTTTGAGGTACGTTTTGCAACAACACGAGTTCGTTTAGCTGAAGTTCCTGAATGTCAAAAATTTTTTTTCAAGGACACAAACTTTTAACACAGAAAACAAACTAAAACGTATACTAACCCAAAAGCAACATTAAATTTTTATAAGAAACCTGGACTTTCCCCAGACGCTTCCTCCTCAACATCTACATGTTTGGCCGCTCCAGGCTTCAAAGGATCCCAAACCCGATGAGATTTCAAAGCTGCTTTGCGAGATGGTCTTCCAGCAATAAGAGTTTGTTCCTCAGAGAACTCCTGTTCATCAGAACCTTCAGACGCTTTACGTTTGCTTGAATTACGTTTCATTATTCCAGGTGGCATTTTCAATATCTAAAAGGTTATTTTAACAGAAAATATGAAAAAATGAAAGAAAAAATATTCAAAATATTGAAATAATATTAAAAAACAATTTTTGAAAAAATTGATAAAAAATTTAATTTTTCTTTTCAGGTATAACGATAAACATACAAATAATAAATAGATACACACAAGTCAATTGTAGGCATAAATACATATAAAAAATTTTAATTTAAATATAATAAATATATTTATATTTTATAATCTTTTTTTAAAGGTATATTTTTTTAAAAGTGAATAATAATAAAAAAGGGGGTAAATAAAAAGACGGCTTCACCTAGTATTTTAGGCGAGGAGTAAGGCAAAAATATATGTCTATATCAAGAAATCCATTTCAAAGATTTTATTGGAGAGGGAGAAGACGGATTTGAATTGGGAGAATCTTCAACTTCTTTTTCATTTAAATTTGTTTTATCATTTTGTTGTGGTAGAATGCTAAAGTTGCTTGTTTAGAAAAAAATAAAAAAAATTTTTTTAAGGAAAACAAAATTGTCTGACCTGGATTTTTGTTTGACTAAACTGTAATAATAACGATGGGGTCGATCACACTAAATTACAATTATAGAAAAATTTAAAAAAACTTTGCGTCGATTCAAGAAAGAGAGAAACAAACGAAGAAACACGAGAGAGAAACAAACCAAAATTCCTCGATGACAACATCCCCGATTGAATTCTGCACAAGGTTCAGTACCAGGCGTATGTCGAACATGAAGATAATTACATTCATCCTTACCTTTACTGCAAACAAGGCGTAAATAAAAATCACAGACTGGCATTTGGTGTGGTAGAAGTGGGGAATGAAGCCCACCTGGGCAATCATCACCACCTGAACCACCTCGGCAAACTCCTCGCATTAATCTGTGATTGTGGAAAACAAAAAACGCTAAAATTCTTTTGAAAAAAGATTTTTAAATTTTTAAAAAGCAAACAAAATTTTCGGGTTTTTTTGGACATACGAGGGTAGGAAAAATCAAAAATGAAACTTAAAAAGGATGTGAGAAGACTAGTGTTTCACCGGAACCTTTTCTGACCGAAACCGGATCCAATTTGAGTTTCAGGTTCCCGGAACCGGAACTTTTTTTTGTTAGTCCGGTGAAACTCTAGAGAAAACCAAAATTTATTTCCACTCCCAAAAAAAAAAATTCAAAAAAAACCTTTGGCAGACTTTCTGCTGCATATGTTTCAAACTTTTGCCATGTTCAAACACACAAAATATTCCAGCTTGACAGGCACCTGTATCCGCAAATTGGTAACATTCTTTGCTTCCAGCATATACACGTTTTCCGCTTTTTAAGATTAAAAGACTTTTGTTTGTAAAACGTTTTTTGCCATTAATTGTTTGTTGCTGCGGTTGTTTCCATGATGGTTGTTGCTGTTGAAGATGTCCGCGTTGTTGATTTGGACTTGTAGTTTTCGAAGTTGTCTCTGTAGTTTTTGAATTGACTAAATTTGTGTTGAGTTCAAGAGGATGTATAGCAGTACTAGTTGACATTTTTGAGGTGCCAGGAATTGAATTATTCGAAGTCACAGGTATATTTAATGAAGATAATGTTGCTACTGTTGAAGGCTTCAAAAATTTGTTTAAATTTGTAGAGGAACAAGGGTCGGTCGACGGGTGATTTTTCTTTATGAAAATAAGCAGAAATTACCGATAAATGTTCTAATAGAAGCCTAGCCCAATAGAAGCCCATTCCTTATTGGAAGCTTTATAAATGAGACCCACAAGGGAGTAGCCAAGGTTTTTTGTCATATATTCTATTCTTTCAGCGCCACATTTTGTGGGCAGTTTCTGATAATTTCCCTCCTAAAATATTTTTATTTTACATTTCAGGAAGGGGGCTATAGCCCAGAAGCCTCCCCTCTGGCTCCGCCCTAGAAGACACACTGAAAAAAAACGTCCCCAAGGCTTCTATTAGAATAACATTTCGGTAATTTAAACATTAAAAAAATAAACCGAATTCAAAGCAATAGTCGACTTCACTCTTTTCACCGCAGGTTGTTCTTCAACTTCATCATCAGAAGGACTTAAAGGAGAAGTACGAAGGAATAAATCTTCTGTATGGCACTCGGGAAAAGGAAAAAGTTTGTCTTCATTATTCTGTGGACATTCACAATCTTTAGGTAAATCTTCGTCTTTTAAAAGTCCACTAAATAGTTTTAACATTCGCCAATTTCTTCCTTCGGGTTCTGAGCCACCATTAGGTTGATTTTGTTTAGAAATTTCTGAAGAAATTTCGATTGTTGGAGGCGCACTCGACGAAAATGTTGGCGCTGTTGTGGTTAATTGTGGAGGTGAAAAAGCTGAAATACGACAAATTTAATGACAAAATTCGTCAAAAAATTTTAAAAAATACGTAAAAATCCCAGGTTTTTGTTAACAAGTTTTGTGACGTTATTTTTGACTGAATTGAGGAAACCAGTTGTTGCAAAGTTTGGTTGACGTGGAATAATAGGAATATTATTTTGACGTAACGTTGAATTGAAGAGAGGTTGTGATGAGCTGAATTTGTTTGTCATAGAACTTCCTGATTGTAAGAAAATTGAGTTCACCTGAAAAAAAGTAAAATTTAAAAAATATTTGAAGGAAAAAAGACTGCGGGAATGATTTTTAAGGCTTCCCTTAAAGTAAAAAATATTGAAGATTGACTAAAGATGACACGTGTTACTCAAAGCCAGGGCTTATCCACATGAAACCCGAACCAAACAAAATTTGAAACCCCAGCCTGACACTTTCCATGGTCCGGACAGTTTTAACTTTGAATAAATTATTTGGGTAAAAAACATACCGAGGTGCTAGCAGTAGATTGATTTAAATAACCGGGCTTGCTTTGAGAAGCACTACCTGAAGGAAACATCTAGGAACAAAAATAAGATTAAAATTTAAAGGAAATGTAGAAAAAATAAATTTGGAAAGATAAAATCCATTTGGAAAAGAAAAGATTTTTTAAAAATTATTTATTCAAATCAGGCAATTGAGCAACTTTTCTCATCTCACGATAATCAGAATTTAATGCTTTCATCATTAAAGGGTCATTTGGATCAGGGGAGAGCCTTTGTCCATTTTGTCCTTTTCCAATAATAACTCCAAGTTGATCCTCTGCAATGCTTAATAAATACGATGTTTGGGCTTCCCCATAACCCAGAACCCTTGCAAGGATTATATCGCCAGGCTGCACAGATTTGTAGAGTTCAACCTGAAAGGAAGTTTTGTTTCCAAAATTAAAAATAGATAAATTTAAAAATACTTTATCACGTTCTTTCTCCCTCACATCCTCTTTCCTCAAAGTAGAATTGAATTCACTTAACAACATTGTATTTTCAACACTTATAATTGTGCACTTTGCAAATTTTTGAGTGAGCAACTCGACCTGAATGTTTAAAAAAATATTTATGAGCAACTCAAACTGCAGGTAATTTAAATTTTGTCCCCAACAACCTTCTTTGTTAGCTTACTATTAATCGAATAACCAAAAATGATCAAATCTTTCTCAAAATCATTCTATTTTCTTATGGCTGGAAATCCTTTTATTGAATGATTGGAAGTAAAGAACGAAATTTTCAAAAAAACCTTGACCCTGATTTCGGCTGGGTACGTTAATCAGATTCTTGACCATAAGTCAAGAAAATCAAGGTCTGGATCCGATCCAACCCGTCTCTAATACGAATAAAAGGAAATAACGTAAAGTTGAGGAGGAAGTCTGACCATTCCAAAGAGAAACGAAATTGAATATTACCAATTATATTAATCATAAAGCGATCAAACCTTAGCAGTAACAATTTTCCCCTGTGAAGGAATAACATGACTCTTCTCATCCATTTTCCTTCTAATTTCTACAAGTTTGGTTTCGTTTGAATGCTTAAAAATCGAAAAAATAATAAATTCAAAGTAAACACAAACCTGATCCTTCACAATAGAAACATTAACATAACCAGTTAAGGAAGCAACTAAAATTCCATAAAATTCAAAGCATCCATTACCTGCACGGTAATTATCAGAAACAGAAAACAATTTATCGCCTTGAATTTAAAATTTTTTTGGAGAATGGTGAAATTAAAACCTGGAATGCAAACCTTATTGCACGGATCAGGTATCGTCGTTTCATTGATAATATTCATTAACAAATAATAAAACAACTGAAATAAGCGATTTTATGGAATTTATTTTTATGTGATTTTTTGTCTGCCAGGCTTCAATTTGTCTCAAGGGGGTTTTTCTGGATTTTTGGTAGCCTAAACTAGAAATGGATGACGTTAATTAACGATTAATTAATCGTCAAATCCGGGATGCCCACGAAAGCACAGTAAGGGCGGACATTTTTTTCAAAATGATATTTATTAGGCACAACGCCAAACAAAAAATTTCTCTGTTTCTATAATGTCTCTTATTTTCCCATGTTCTTTCCTTTCGAAAATCGTTATTGACCATTTTATAACTTTTATGGGTAATGACCATTTTCTCTCACTTTTCTGCAAATTTTTCTCTCACTCTTCTGCTAATTTTGTCACTTCTTTGCGACTGCACTTTTCTGTGATTTTGCTCGGGTACAGCCCAAATAGGCGCCAAAGCCATAACTTGCTTCAAGATTTCCGAACGTAACAAATTTAGTATTAAACGACTCTCATCAAGCTAAAGAGATTGGTTCCAAAATTAATAAGGGCCAGAAATTTTCTAGTCAGTTATTTGCGCCTACTTGGCCGCGCGCCTACTTGGGCGTGTCCCATTTTGCTCATAAAAGATGAGCAAAAAATGAGCGCCTCTTATTTCATCTTACAATTTCTCCGCTAGTTGATCCCTGCGAGTAACATTTTCTTCAATTTTAGATATAAAATGACTTCTATAATAAAATTGGAGGCTCTTTCCGGTGTTCAAGACGATGGTCCTTTATGTTATCTTCTTCAGGTTTTAGATCATTTTTTACTGATAAGATCATCTTTTAGGTGGATCAAGTTTATATTCTGTTGGATTGCGGCTGGGATGAACATTTTGATTTGGCCTACATTGAGTCAATAAAAATGCGTATACCTCAAATAAATGCTCTACTGATCAGTTATGGTGATGTGCCACATATTGGAGCATTTCCTTATTTGGTCAAATGTGGTCTCAATTGCCCCATTTATGCTACTGTAAATTTTATCTAGTCAATCCTGTGATTATTTTTTTTTAATTTTATTCAGGTTCCAGTCTATAAGATGGGTCAGCTCTTTCTCTATGACTGGTTAAATGGTCATTCCAATGTCAAACCTTTCAATTTGTTTTCTTTCGATGATATTGACCATGCCTTTGAAAAAGTTCAGCAAGTCAAATACAGCCAAACTGTATGGGTTTTTCTATACTTTTTTACCCCTAATTTCAGATTTTATTAAAAGGCGACAATGGTTTACAAATTACTCCTTTCCCCGCTGGTCATCATATCGGAGGGGCAATTTGGCGAATTACTAAAATGGGGGAGGAAGAGATTGTTTATGCCGTTGATTTCAATCATAAAAAGGAGCGACATTTGAATGGGTGTACTTTTGATGGTAATTCATTCAGCTTTGTGTCTTTAAGATTTTATTTAAGGTATTGGAAGGCCTAATTTGTTAATTACGGATGCCTTTAATGCTTTATACAATCAACCAAAGCAAAAACAACGTGATGAAAATTTGGTGTCTAAATTGCTTTCTACTGTTCGGGATGGTGGAGACGTTATGATTGTTAGTGATTTTCGTTAATTTTTGAAAAAAACTTAAAATTTGCAGGTTATAGACACTGCTGGACGTGTTTTAGAAATTGCACATTTGCTTGATCAACTATGGCAAAAGTAGTTTTTTTGTTTTATATTAATTTATTAAGAAATTTTTTAGCAAAGAAGCAGGCTTGATGACTTATAATTTGGTTATGTTAAGTGCTGTAGCGTCTTCAGTTATTGAATCAGCAAAATCGCAAGTTGAATGGATGTCTGATAAAATTTTGAGAATGTTTGAAATGGGAAGGCAAAATCCTTTTCAATTGAAGCATGTTCGTTTTTGTCATACGCTAATGGATTTGAATCGTGTTAGATCTCCAAAGGTAAATTTTATTGATTTTTTTTATTATATCAAGTTTATATTTCAGGTTGTTTTAGTCAGCGGATTGGACATGGAAAGCGGGTTTTCACGGGAACTTTTTCTTGAATGGAGTACTGATACAAAAAATATGGTTATTGTTACAGGTTTTTGTTTCAAATTTTAATTTGAAAATTAAAGTATTTTAGGAAGAGCTGGCGATAGAACTTTGTGCTCAAAATTAATAAGAATAGCTGAATCTCGTGAAAAGAAGCGTGCAACAAATAATACTGTTACTCTAGAAGTGAAAAGACGTGTGCGTTTGGAAGGTGCTGAATTGGAGCAATACATGGCTAAAAAGAGAGAAAGGGAGCAAGAAGATGCTAAACAAAGGTTTCTATATTTTTGATGATTTTTTAAATATTTTTTCTTTTAGGTTAGAAACTCTACGACGAAATGCACGGTTAGAGAACGTCGAATCTTCAGAAGAATCGGAAGACGAAGAAACCTTGGCAGCGTCTGTATTAGCTCTTACACAAGGTGGAAAAAAACCTGCGCCTAACAATGCTAATCTCAAGCAATGTTTGTTTTATTTTTTCGTTTACTTTTTTTAATTTCAAAATTTTTAAGTAGAAGAGCAACGTCGTAATTCAATAGTAGCACAAAAACAGCCTAAAGGAATTTCTGGAACAAATAGTTTAGTGAATACATCCAACAATTATGATATTATGTGGAGGTTTGAAATGAATCAACGTGTTTCTTTTTTCAAACAGGTTTTTTAAAGGTTTATTTGAAAGGAATATTTTTCAATCTTTTAAGAACAAGAAGCAATTTCCAATGTTTCCATATCAAGAAGAAAAATCTAGAGTTTGTTTTAAATTTTTTAAGGACTTGCGGTTTTTGAAGGCTGCCTTTTTATTCATTTTAAATTTTTTTAAATTTTAGTGGGATGATTATGGCGAAGTTATTCGTCCTGAAGAATACATGACTGCTGAAACTACGACTACCACAAATACTTCTACTAGCCCTACAATAAATCCTAAAACTGAAAAAGAAGATGATGATGTTGCTGATGCAAAAATGGAACGTCAAAGAATACAACAAATAATTGAAGAATGGCCTAAAAAATGTGTTTGTTTTATTACTAAAATTGAGGTTTCATTAATTTTGTTTAACATTTTTTGACAAAAATTATTTTTTCAGATTCTATGCAAAGTTGAATTTATCGATTTTGAAGGACGTTCTGATGGGGAATCAATAAAAAAGATTTTGAGTCAAATAAAGCCTAAACAATTGGTATTTTTGGAATTTTTTGACATTTCAGTGATTGTTCGTTAAGGTTATTGTTCACGGATCTGCTCCAGCTACTCGCCATTTAGCCGAATATTGTCGTCAAAATAATGTGGTACAAGGCAAAATATTTACCCCAATGATGGGTGATGTGGTTGATGCTACTATTGAATCTCACATCTTTCAAGTAACTTTAAGTGATCAGTTGATGTCTTCGCTGCTTTTTCAAACGGTTTTTTTTTGCTTTTTTTTAAAATTTATATTTCCTCTAATTTTAAGGTTAAAGATGCAGAATTAAGTTGGTTAGATGCTAGGATAATACGAAAATCGGCTTTGGTCCCCGCTGCATTAGAAAAATTAGATGAAGATGTAGAAGCAATAAATGTTATAGAAGAGGAAAAAGAAGTTGAAAATATAAATGAGGAAGAAAGAATGGAAATTGAAACTAGAAAAGAAGGAGAAAACGAAGAACCTATGGAACAAGACAATGAAAAAATTGATGAAGAGAATCTAGAAAAAAGGGAAGAGAAAATTGGTCAACCTGGAGATGGTGAACAACAAGATGGTGTTGAAGGTGGGTAATTTTGGAAAAAAAATTTTTAGGGAATATTTTTTAAATATTTGAAATTTTTATCGCGAAGAATACTGTCCTGCGCGCGTTCCCTGGGTTTCATATTTTTTCCTTAAAAATATTTTTTACGTGTTGAACATTAGTTCTATATTTTTATAGCTGAGAAAGAAGCCACTACTCCCCCTCAACAAAAAACAACAACAGTTCCAGTCCCAGACCAACTTTTCCTCGAATTACTTTCCTCTAGTGGAATTCCACCACATCAATCTGTATTTGTTAACGACCCAAAATTAACCGATTTAAAACAACTTTTGGCTTCTAGTGGGTTCCATGCAGAATTTCATTCAGGAGTCCTTTATGTTAACAACATTGCTAATGTTAGGAGAAATGAGGCGGGAAGATTTCATGTTGAGGGATATGCTTGTGCTGATTATTATAAAATTAGGGAGATAATTTATTCACAGTTTGCTATTGTTTAATGTTTTTGTTTTCCCCCAATTTACAGTCCAATATTGAAATAAAATTTTTTTTTCAATTCCAGAAAAATATCTAGAACCCCTCGACCTCAAAATTCCTCAAAAAAGTGTAATAATAATAAGCCGTTCTCTTCAAAATAATTTTCCCGCAATTTCTCCTCTAATCCACTCAAATATCGGAGAGAGTTTTTTTTACTTGTTTTGGGTAGTGGATTTATTAGAAACTGAAAGAAACTCTATGACCAATAAAAAAATATATTTATTATTTTCATTTATTCACAGTGTTCTTTCATAATTTTTCTCGGTATTTTTGTTGTAATTTCAACAAAAATATTGTGTGCAGATTGTCGCGCAAAAATAGTTGAAAAACAGATTTTTTATTATTAAGTAGTTAAGACTTAGAGATCGGCATTGTAGTGATTCTACGAGATTCCGTACTGGAATCCTAGGTGTTAAGCGCCGCTCGGGATTCGAGATTTACGGGATTAATCCCGCGGGAATTTTCATTTTCTCTATTTTAAGTCTTCATCTTTCATCTGACTGATTTTACTTTGATAGTTTAATTTTCATTTTAATTTTTTCTATTTTACTTTGAGTAAGATTATTTTTATCTCAAGTTCAACTGAATATTTTTTAAGAGCACATAAATATTTAAATTAAATTAATTTATACTTTATTAATTTAATATGTACTAATAAAACCTAAACTTTAATTTATTGATTTCCAAATATTTTAGTTTATAAATCTAAGGTTTGCTAATAAAATATAAGTTTAATATCTATAATAATTGCATATATGCAATTATGTGAAATTATCCGAAATTATCCGCAAATTATCCGAAATTATCCGCAAATTATATGCGATGATAATAAATTTTATTATATATATATAATCATAAATTATTATTTTAACTTACAGTGCCGGAAAAAAAGATAGGACCAGACGCACACATTTTCCTTTCCTCAAATTTTCTTCCGAATTTTAGACTTTTAAGAGAAAAAATTTGATAGAAATTATCGATTAATCTATCCTCTATTAAATGAGTACAAATATTACCTTTTTGATCAACAATTAATTTTACAAACATTTCAAAACAAAAACTACTCAATTTTTGGGGTGGAAAAAAAGATAGGACCAGACTAGAAATATCGACTTTTGTTCGGTCAAAAATTCTATAAAAATTTCTGTGAACATTTCCATCGATATTGAGTAGAAAAGAAAAAAGAACGAAGTCTGTACCTTATTTCTTCATCGAGATCTCAAATCTCAAAAATCAACGGAAAATAGGGGTACAGTACTTCAAAAAATATTTAAACCCCCTGGAGCTTTTATAAAAAATTTTCTTTTTTGCCCATTAAAAAGCCCATAAAATTTGCTACAAAATAGTCCAAGTTTTTATTTTTCAAATAAAAACTCATGGAGATAGAGGTAAGGCAATTTTTAAGTTATCATTTCTGGGGTATTTTGGGAGATTTTGAGAATTTTTAATGTAAAGTGGACTAGAGTTAACCAGGTATTTTTTTAGAAAAATTAATTTCTCGACTATTTTGTGGTAAATTTTATGGGCTTTCAGAAGGCATAAAATAAAATTTTTAATATAAGCTCCAGGGGGCTAAAATATTTTTTGAAGTACTGTACCCAGTGATGCGGAAATTCCAAAATGTGCCCGGTTCCGGTTCCGGTTCTGGAACCGCTCTTTCAATTTTGCCCGGTTCCGGTTCCGGTTCTGGAACCGATTTTTTAATTTTGGCGGTTCCGGTTCCGGTTCTGGAACCGCTTTTTTAATTTTGCCCGGTTCCGGTTCCGGTTCTGGAACCGGTTCCAAACCGGTTCCGGTTCCAAAAAATTTTGGCTTTAACTTAGTATAGGTCCACTGAGATCCAAACTGTAAGTATATATCATTCAATTCGTCTCTTCGAGCTGAGTTCAAATATGCAAGAATTTCTTGCAGGAGACAAAAACTCGCAGAGATATAGGCCTCCGAAAATCGAAAAAGGGACCAAACATTTTTGGGTGACTCGAAAATTTCGGATCCGGGTCAGGGTGGACGCAATTGAACAACAACAATTAAACGGAAAACGGGGTTTAAACGCCGCAGGCGAGAATTTGTTAAATTTGGAAGGACAAGTCACCAGATTTCTTCTCTTTTCTGCGCCGCAGGCGAAAATTTTAAGGATTTTGGAAGGCCAAGCACTAGATTTCTGCCCTTTTTAAGCGCCGCAGGCGAAAATTTTGAGAATTCATGTATTTAAAAATATGACAAAATTTTTTGTTATAAATAAGTTCATAATAATCTATTTCCTGAAGAAAAACAATTATTTTGTCATTCATTAAGTTCGGTTCGAACCTCACACAATGATAATTCCTCAAAACTATGAACCTAACACAATATCCATTCAACCACACATCTTTTGAATAAAAAATAAAGATAATCTTTTTCACTCGTCTCAATTTTCCCTTCCTTTTCTTCTCACTACTCCCATCTTTTGCCCATTTCTCTGATTTTACCCATCATTAGGGGTGTATCTTTGGAACCGGTTCTGGAACCGGTTCTAAACCGGTTCTGGACCTTTACCGGTTCCACGGTTCCGGTTCCAAACCGGTTCTGGACCTTTACCGGTTCCACGGTTCCGGTTCCAAACCGGTTCCGGACTTTTACCGGTTCCACGGTTCCACTTCCGGAACCGGAACCGGAACCGCACCGGTTCCGGAACCGGAACCGGAACCCCCGATCACTGACTGTACCCCTATTTTCCGTTGATTTTTGAGATTTGAGATCTCGATGAAGAAATAAGTTACTGACTTCGTTCTTTTTAATTTTATACTTGGTATCGATGGAAATGTTTATAAAAATTTTTATAGAATTTTTGACCGAACAAAAGTCGATATTATTAATTTTAATTATCTTGGTCCTATCTTTTTTTCCACCACAAAAATTGAGTAGCATCGTTTAAATTTTTTTGGAAAAAATTTTGTCGGTAAATTATCTTGATATTTATACTCATTTTAAAGAGCATTTAAAGATCTACAATTTTAGTGTTGAAACTTTTTCTAAAAGTTAATCGAAAAGAGATAATCGATAAAAACTAAATTAACAGCCTCTGGTCCTATCTTTTTTTCCGGCACTGTATCTTTTTAAAATAATAATAAATAAAATTTAATAAATTTGAATAATAATTAATGTTGAATATATAATAGATAATAGAAAGTAATAAAAAATATAAAAAATAATAAAAAACATAATAGTAATAGAATGAAATTCTATTGCGTATATTTAAGATTGTCGTTTCAGAGTCGAACCGAAGACCGATGATTTTTCGGTTCGTTTGCGGATATCTGAAAATTCTCCAAAAACCGACAATCCTGTGTATCAGGGATCCTTCCGACAAAAAATCAAAATTCCCGATTTTAGGAAATAGGGATCCCGATCCAAAAAACGGCGGGAATTCTCGATTTTCGGGAATCGTGACGGCAGGATCCCTGCTATGTATATTGTAAATATTTGTAAAAATTAAAAATTATTTTCTGCTTATTAAACCCTCAAAATTCTTTATTTTACTCTACTAATCACATAAGTAAGATTATTTTATTATCTTTCAATATTTTTTTCTTAAAAAATCATTCCATTTGCATCTTTTCTTTACGCGCGAGCGCACCCAAAATCTCACAAAATACTAAACACCTTTTTCAGTATTGCGGTAAAAGCATTAAAAAAAGCTAGCCGTCATTTTACGCCTCTTTATATTCAATTTTTTTACATTTACACAACAATTCTTTTATTTTGTTAGTAAAGAATTTTTAGACAAAGGCATAGACATTTTTTATTATTAAATAAAAGATTTTTCTTAAAGTTTTTTTTTGGGTTTAGGAATTTTTATATGAATTTTTATAGATTTTTATGACTAATATTTTGTTTAAATAATAAAATTTGTCGGCCTTGAAAAATTAAGAAAATAGTAAAAATTCCAGTTTTTAATGAAAATTTGGAAATTTAATTGAAGCTTAGAAATGTCACTTTTTCCTACTTTTTTCTCGATCCGTAAATGGAAAATTTACGTTTCAGGTTTCAGTTTCTTTTTTTTTCCTAGTAAATCTTCTAATTTCCCTCCCCATTTTCAAGCTTGAAAAGTTGAGAAATAAGGCCCATTGTGGAACTCGACACTTGATTACAGCCTCTATAATTAGGTAGCTTTATCAACTACACAATTAGATGGTAATTCGATTTCGATTAACCTCCGATCTCTCTCTCTCTCACTTGAGAATTAAAGTCTGATCTCAATTTTATGTACATTAGTCACACTTTTTGAAGTTTATTAGCTACTGAACTGAGGGAACTGTCTAAGCAATAATAAACTCAATTAATTCTTCTGAATACAATAATTTTTTTACACTCTTTTGAGTACACTTTTTCATTACAAAGGTGTTCGTTAAATCGAAATCCACCTGTAATTACCCTCGTTTTTCCAATTTCCCGTCTACCCAATTTTTTTTCTTATTGCCATCCCCGCGGGGATAACCTCAATAATAACGACCATTGGTCATTCAAAAAAGATTATTATTTTTTTTCTTTATTTTTAGTTTTCCTTTTTCTATTTTTTATGCTTTATCCTCATTTATACACTCATATATACTTTGATTTAGTGTGCAAAAGCACAGAAATATTTTTTGAAAATAAATAGGAGGAAATGCAGGTAATTTGAGTGAAAAGGCGTGTTAAAATAATTCTTATGTTCTTTCTATCAAATCTACTTTTTCCCTTTTTTTACTTTATTTCTTCATTACTTTTATTGCAAAATCTTCTTTTCACACTTATTATTAAGCAGAAAACTTGAGGGGAGAGGAATATTTTTAGAATTAGGATTTTTGCAACTTTATATTTTTCACTATACTTTTTTAAATGATAACGTCTTTTAGCTGTCAAAAAATCTAAAAAAATTTTTGAAATCATAATAGCTTAAACTCAGAAAAGATCTCGAACAAAAATCTCGGTTATCGAGACCTTCCATTCGATTGTTCTTTAATAAGCATTCTATTAATCTCTATTCGTAAGTCTTGACTCACTTTTTTTGTTTTTTTTTTCGATCTCTTGGTTCTGGAAAATTTTTGGTCTTGGGCATCTTTACTCTCTCTATTAAACTGCAGACCTTTGGTCTACTCCTCTCTAATAAATTAATATTAGCCGGCTTGAGGGTATTTGTTTAGAGTTTTTATTTAAAATTGAATTTTATTATTTTTATTAAAACCGTTTCCAAGGAAATTGCAAATAATGGGGCTATTTTGTTATTATGAATGCGCTATTTGTTGCTAATAAACAAGAGAGTCTCTTGTAATTTTCCAATTGACCTTAAATCCAAAATTCTTTTCTTGAATCGGACCGGACATTTTTTTAAATAACCAAATAAGTATTTGACTTACCTGAATCAGTTCTATTATTAAATATAAGTAAAAGAAAGGGGTTGGCCGCAGCTGCTGGTTTTTTCTTAAGATGCACCTGGCTTGGAGAGAAAAGGAATTTTTTAGTAAAAAAATCCTTTATTTTTTACTTTTTTTACTAATAATCTATTAGTAAATGCTTGTTTTTTATATTTTTATTGAATTTTAAATAAATCAACCGGCTTGGAATTTGTAGGATTCTATGTCGAACTGGGTCATAAACTGAGATATTTGTTGGGGATTTCAGCTCGGTTCGGTTTCTAACTTTATGAAAAAAAATTTTTTGGAAAAAATTTAGGATGCTTCCTTAATATTTTGAAAGAATGAAAACAATAAAAAATATTTTAGTTAAGTTATTGTTATCAAAAAATGACGATTGAGTGACTGATTATTTTAAAAATAGTGTTATCTTCTTGATAAATAAGGAAACAGAGTAACCAGTAAATTTTTATCAAATTTAAAAGCAAACACATTAATCATCAAAACAATAATAAATTCAAAAATAGTTTTATTCAGGGCTCGGATCGACAAAATGCCAATAAAAAGTACAAAAATCTTGATTTTAAAGTACATAGGGGCAAAATTTCCACATTTAAAGTACACTCAAAATTAAATTAGAGAATACTTATTCGTGCTCAAATCTTTTATATTTCTCTCCTAAATGAATCTTTTCTAATAATTTCTTGTTTCCGCTGAGCATTTTGTGCATTTCAATGCATGACATGTCAAAATTCGCCGACACAAGAAGTAAAGCCCTGACAGTTTAACCTCAAGCGAATTTCTTTCTTTAGTCCATTGAATGCTTGCCATTGAGAAGATGCGTTCTATAAATGCATTTGAAACTGGAATCTTTAAAAAATAAATTTAATAAATGAAATATAATAGGAAATTCGACCGAAATAGCGACACCGATTATCCGGTACAAGTTTTTGTATTTTATTGTAGCTCCAGGAACATCAAAAATCATTTTCCATTTTTGCTCTGTTGTCTTGAGATAAAAACCTTCATTATTAATGCCATTCAGAGTTTTATTTAATTGTGAAATTTCATCAAAAAGTTCATCATTTTCTGAATTTTCCGGGCAAATTTGCTCAGCCAGTTGGACAACTTCCGCATAAATTAATTCTCTTATTGAATATTAGAGAAACAAAGAAATATTCAATATTAGAGAAAAATATTAGAGAAATATTCAATATTAGAGAAACAAAGAAATATTTACACTTTGCCAACATTATTTTTAAATTTTTTATTTAACTTTCATTTTCAATCCAAAATGTTGATTTTAAAGTACATACTTTCAATAAAGTACAAATTCAATTTTGTAAGTACGGAGGTCGATTTTAAAGTACTGTACTTTCAAATAAAGTACGAATCCGAGCCCTGGTTTTATTATATTTATTAAAATTTGGCCTTTTAGAGGAGGTGACATTTTGTCCCATTTTTTACTTTTTTTTAATTTTTATTTTAATTTTTTTAATTTTTTTTAATTTTGAGGTATTTTGTTTTCCAAAGAGCGCGAATTCCTCCTTATCTAGCTTTTGAACTTCCCAGCAGATTACATACATATCACGTATTACCCACAACTTTTTCCTTTTTCCAGCATTTATCCCCTTGCGAATCCCAAATGTTTTTTCCTCATTATTTATTTTTCAAAATTTTTTTAAATAATTTTTTTCTCCATTTTCAGCCTATAAATCTTCTCCAATAAAAAAATGCTTTCATCAAAATTTGGTTCATTCACTTTTGATTTGAGAAGAAAACAAAAAAATGAACGAAGCAACAATCAACAACAACACCAAAATTGGTCATTAAGAAAACAACGAAAACAACAAAAAGATGAAAATAAAAATTTACGTCCATCATGGTCACAAGGAGAATTTTATAAAAATTGTGTTGACAAACAAAATTGCCAATTTCCGATGCCAAAAATGGGAACAACTATTTTGACAGCAACAACAACAGTGGCAATAAAAAATGCAAATGGAAAAGAAGGTGGGGAAATTCTTAAGAAATAAATAAAGTTTTTTGGTAAATTGTTTGAAGCTCTCAAGTGAGGGGGGGTGACTGGTAAGGGGGTGCCCCTGCGTGATTTAAAATTCTTCTGATTATCGCATGGTTTAATAAAAATTTTTGTGTTCTTAAATGTGTAATTCAAGTGTAATACTTTCCTGAATTTTTTCCTTGGAAGGATTTCTCTATTCAATTCCTTATCTATTCCCATTTTAAAAATAAGTCAGATCTCACTATAATTTGTAAGATATATCCATATTTTATATTGATCAAGCTTCAATTTTTTTAAATTAGTTGGCCACTGGATTAAGGAGGCTTTTAATAAGATAAATTTTTTGACCCAAAGGAAAAGTATTTTTATGTATTGAGGTCTGATTGTACTTAAAATTATTTTTTGTTTATTTTCTTTTAAATTTCCAAAAATATACTATTAGAAGACTTCCTTTTTTATTTATCCAAAAACAACCAAATTCCCTAGTGAGTTAGAATCAATCCAAATGAGATAAGCACAAGCCTGACTGCAAAACAATTTTGCTAATTGAAATGGATTGACTGAAAAAAAAAATATTTTTTTCTTGGGGGATTTTTATTGGCCTATTTTTGGAGGATAAATAGTAACTAAAAACAAAATTGGAGGAGAAAATAAAAAATATTTTTGGAAAATTCAGTCAATCAAAAAAATAAAGGTTCCCGTCAAGGATGTCACGAGTTACTCAAAACCTACTACGCGAGACTTGGACTTCTTCGATCCAAATCCGACCCAACTTCCATCGTAACCCCCTAACTGACTTGTCCTGAAACTTGAGACCCAAAAATTTTTTGACACAAAACCCAGCCCGTCGTTTTTCTCAATCCGTGACATCCCAGCTCCTTGTTAACCAAACAATAATGTATTTTGCTGGACAGAGCATCCTTTTTTACTTAATTATCATTTTCTTTCTTATTTTTAAAAACAAAGAGAAGTATTTGGGGCCTAGTATTTTTTAAAGTGGTTTTAACTTAAATGCTTGTTAGTTTATACATGCATGAGTGATCCTCAATTTTTTTTAAAATTATATTTTCCACTCAATTAGTTGCAATTAGTATATTTTTTACCTATACTTATTTTTTGCTAAGTTAATTTTCATTAGTTTAACGTTATTCTTTCTGGAACTGTTTTTTTTAATTTTTTGATTATTTTTATAGGGACACGGATTTATTTGTTTCGCTCTATTTTAAGCACCTAATGTTCAGTTTTTTTCTTTTTATTAATTTTTAATTTATTTTTATTCAAGCTTTTACTTTATTCCTCCGGAAATGATTTTTTTTAATTTTTCAAACCTCTATAGATACCTAATTTTTAAAGATATTTTTTTCTAAATTTATTTTCTAAATTTTATTTTTAATTTTCTAAAATTACTCTTAGCAAAAAATACCTCTTATTAAATTTTACATTCATCTTACGTTCACCTGATAAAATTAGGGTTAATAGCGGCGCTTTTAAGATAGGCAAAAAAGAGTGCCTTTTTAGTATAGTATTATTTAAATTTATTTTTAAAATTTATTTTTAAATTTTCAACAATTTAAATAATTAATAGAAATTTTTATAAAATTTGTTTTCGTTCTTCTCTTTAATTTCCCCCTTCTTTTCTCTTTAATCCTAGGGAAAATATTTTATTATTTTTACAATAATAAAATAATTATTTTATTTACAACCAAAACAAACAATTTTCTCATATTTCTTTGGCATCTGCCACAATAATAAAATATATTTTTATCTTAATATTTTCTCTCAAACACTTTAGAAAAAAGAGAGCAAGCTAGCAGCTTTGCGCGGAAATAAAAAGAAGTAATTGAGGAAAAGCTCTCTTATCCCCTTTTATTTTTAATTTTATTTAAAATATTTTTTTATCTTCCTCGTTTAATTTAATTTTATTCACTCGTTTTTCTTCTTCCTCCTCATCCAACTCTTGATTGTTTTTTAGATTCTCTTCTCTTCAATTTTATGTTTCTTCATCTTTAATTTCTTCATCTTCCGTCCAACTCTTCTTTTTTCTCTCTTAATTTTGATTACCTCTTAAATTTTATGTTCATCCTTTCTCTTTTTCCTCCTTTTTGTCAATTTCTTCATCTTCAAGTTTGTCCATTTCATTTTCCTCTTCCTATTCATTTTTATCTTACAGTCTTCATCTTCCTAATCATATTCATTTTCGTCTTCACCTTCCAAACATTTTTGTCTTCATTTTTCCATTAATTCTACTGTCCTGTTCATCTTCCTCTTCCTATTTATTTAATCTTCCTCCAAATTTTTTATCTTCCTCATTATTTCCACCTCGTCCTTTTCCTCTTCCCTTAGTCGCGTGTGGGAAAAGCACCAGCACTTTCTTCTTCCTCTTATTTTACTCATTTTTTACATTGCCAATTCCCCTCCCTCCTCTCAATCCATTAATCGCCATCATCATCAATTTCCTTCCCCTAAATACAATCATCAACAACACATTTTCTAAGCTTACATCTGCCACAACCTAAAAAAATATCAAGTTTATTTCGTTAATTTTTTTCACCAATTTACTCACGCATCCATTAAAAAAATTTTTTTCATCTCTTCATATTACATTTTTAATAGTGAAAAATTTGTTTTAGTAATTTATTTTTTAGTTCATTTTCATCTTCCTATTTTTACCTGACAGAAATATACACTACCTAAATTTATAAATTAATCTGTACAAATTTTTAGAATGGGATTCTTGGCAATAATCAAACAGTACTCTTTTCAAATTTTATCAGTTATATTTATCAATTTCCGTCAAAAAAGTGAGGGGATTTTTAGAAGGAATTTTTTGGCAAAAATGTTCCTCTTTATTAAAAATAAGTGTACTAAATTGAATTTGGGATTTTTTAAAAATTAATTTATATTTTCTAAACTTTTTTACTAATTGAAAATGAAGAGTATTTTAGAAAAAAAATCTTTTTTTTTTTATTTTTTCTTTCCTTTAAAAAACAATTTATTGAAAAATCGAAAAAAAACTTTTTTTTGAAAAAAATGTTGCGATAAATCAAACAGTCAGTACTCTTTTCAAATTTATCAGCTATCTTTATCAATTTACGTCGAAAATTGTAGAAATAAAGAATAAAAAACACCTTATAAAATAGGGGAACAGCGGCGCTTTTAAAGAGAAGATGTTTTTTAATATAAATTTTACACAAATAATATATAAAATAATGTTAACTAACAAGTCTATATATTTAAAGAAATGCCTAAAATTATAATTAATAATTTCAAAAAGCTTCAATTAGGATTGTTAGCGACCGGATAGTAGCCGATACCTTTTAGTTTTTAAAAACACGTGTTTCGGTTTTTAATTCTAGTTAAATATACCTGTTTTTTGTAGGGGGAGGGACTCGTTTTAAAAAATCTTTGATTTCTAAAATTCATGGAAATGTTGATTTTCGGCAAGAAATATCGAGGTTTTCTGTCCCAAAACCGGTACTAACAATCCCAATTTAAATCTTTAAAATTACCCCATGTATTTACTCTAAATAAAAATTAACAAAAAATAATTTCACAATTAAAAAGTTTTTTTAAAAATATCACTCATTCACCCTTTTACATCCTTTGTCATTTAAAGACATAAATTGATATTTTTTTTAATTTTTTAATTTTTTTTCTAGTTTTTTTTGCCTCATTTCACATTTTTCTTCTATTCTATTATTCATTTTTCTATTAATTTTCAAAAAAAAATCTTAAAAATGACTAAACTAGGATGGAGTGAGGAAAACAACAATAATACAACCAACAATAACAACAACAAAAATATTTCTTTACAATTATTAGAGTTTCATCCATTTTCACATTCACCATTTGCCTCCTGTAGAGGTTAGAAAAGAAAAAATTAAATTTTTTATGGCATTAGAAAAATCCGTGAATTTTTCCTGAATTTTTTTAAGAAATTTTTTTTAATTTTAAAAAGGAAGAAAATAAGTCTCCTTTTAGAGTATAATTCTGGCATTAGAAAAATCAGTGAATTTTTCTTGAATTTTTTTTTCAATTTTTATGAGAATTTTTTATTTTTTTTCAAAATTTTTCAATTTCAATTTTTTCAGGAATTTTTCCTGTATTTTTTTATTTTTTAAATTTTTTAAATTTTAAAAGGAAGGAAAAAGCCTCCTTTTAGAGAGTAAATTCAAAACTTTCTCTCAGACACGTTTCTTAAAATTAATTTATTTATCTGTCGGCGGATGTCGCGATCTTTGTCTGTGGGATCACTTTAAAAGGGAAAGAGCGATTGCTCAATGGGGGGTATTTTAAAATTAATTTCGAAATAAACTGAATTAATTAGAAATATAGGGGGGGGAGAGGCAAGTTTTTGTGTTAAAAGAAGCGGAAGAACAAAGTGAAATTTTGAGGTTTTTTTGCCTAAGGGCAAAATGCGCAACTTAAGTACGTGGGAAATTGTTAAAGATGATGGTATTGAATTGAAGAGGTCAGAAGAAATTCAAAGTCAAAAATAATTCGTCTAGAGATCAAGAAAACAGTCTCTGCCAAAATCCCAGAATTTTTGGCGACCTAGAAGTCTGACTTTTAAATTTTTCTTTGAAGCTCAACATTAAAATTAATAAAGAAAATAAATTTCTAAATTAAAATTGAAAATCAAACATCTTTGTAAAAAAAGGAGAATATAATATAACGACCAGAAACCAAAAATGTAGACTATCTTCCCTCAACAAACATTTACTAAATGACGAATATTAAAAAAAATAATCTTTATAAATTAGACAGAGGATTAAAAATTTGTTTCAAAAAAACTAAAAATAAAACTAAGAGGTTTAATAAAAAAAGATGATATGAGATGATTTTTGATTCTATAATGCTGCTTAATATGGTTCTAGCAAGATAAATGTCTCCTGCTTGGTTCTAAAAAATCTTCAAAATCTTCGGATATCCGGAACCAAACCGAACCGAAAAATCATCGGGTCTTTAGTTCGGTTCGGTCCAGAACCGACAACCCTACTGACTCCAGCCTGCTTGGTTCTAGAAAATCAAATCAACCTCGGTGAACTTAAACAAAAATACCGTACAACCTGTATTAATCGCCCTCCCTCAAATAAAAAATTTTGAGGTTTTTGCCTAAGCCCCACTACTTCTATTATTTACCCCCTCCAGTGATAGAATGAAATAATAATTACCCCCTTATCAAATGCCCTAAAACACGTTCAAATTTCAAACCTCATATCTATCTCTCTTCCATTCCTTTCTCTCTCTTCCATTCCTTTTTAAAAAATCCTCCTTCACTCAATTAATTACTCCCTCCAGTGGAATGTCGACACAATAATTACCCAGGGTAATCATTCAGTTTTACGGTATCTTGGAATTAATCGAGAATTTAATTTCAAGAATTTAAAAAACTAAGAAGACACTACGCAAATATTTCTACCTTAAACCTGTTGGCCGTTCCTCTCTCTTTTTTGGATAGTCAGCCAAACATCAAAATCGTTAAAAAAAGACATTCACCTTTTTTAACTGTTTTAATGGCTTTCTACTTGTAAATATTTTTTTCTAGTTAAAAACTTCACTCTTTAAAATTACACCCAACTTTTATTGTTGCTCACGTAGGTAGTAAAACTGAAAAAAAATTTTTTTGTGAAGGACCGGAAGGGGGGGATTTTTTTCTTTTAAAATTTTGGAAAGAGGGAACGTTCAAATTTATTCAAAAATGACATTTTTTTACTGCGATCTTCCCTCTTTCTTCCCTTTCCCTCTTCCCTTTTAAAAATCCTTCTTCCACTTTCCAAAAATAAGAAAAAAAATTTTTCAGAGAAATTTTAAAGGTGAACAATAAACTTAAAATATATTTTTGTGTCATGCAGAGAGAAAAAGACCCTTCAAAAATTTGCAAGTGTATTTATTTTCCTTCATGATTGCCCTCTCAAATCGATCGAAGCGATTCATTCAGTACCCCCTCTAGTCATTCATTCATTTACCAGCCGTGGAAGGAGTAAAAAGGGAAGGGAAGAGGGAAGGAGGTGGAAGAAAGGGTGGAAGAAGGAGCTGTTGATTGTATGTATTTTTGGGGGGAATAAGGAGGGAAGGAAGGGGGGGGGAGGTAGAGGGAATGGGGGAGAGAGGAGGGGGTTCCTTTTACCCACTATCTACTACCAAAAAAAATTTTTTTTTCTTCCCACCACTTCCAAAAATTATATATTTTTCTTCTTTTTAATTCGTGACGATTCTTTCTTCTTTTTCTTTTGATTGCCGCTTAAATCCTTCCTTGTTCTCTTTTAAACACTAACCAATTCCTTTACCCACCTACCGATTTTACCCGAAAAATCAAATCGCTCGCCTTTTTTACTGCCTTTGTTGGAAGGAAAGAAAAACAACCTCGTCTAACCAGCAACCAACCAAAAACACTATTTACTATTAACCAATCATTTTTACAAATTTTTTTTTCTTTTTTTTAAAGTTATTTTAGTTAAAAAGTTGCATTGAATTTTTTTTAATTCTTGAATTTTTTTTGAATTTTTATGTTTTGATTTCTAAACAATTCCCCGTCCATTTTTGTTTTCCATTCTATTTTTAATTTTTTTCTAACTAACAAACAAACAAACAACATACATATGTACATATTTTTATTATTAATATGTTTTTTAAGAAATAATAAAATATAAATAATTTATGATTTATTTTGTTCAACCAAACAACAATTCTCTCTGACAGCCGTTCCTCATTCCAAATTATATATTTTATTGATATTTAATTTTTTTTTCTTTATTTTTTTTTAATTTTTTTTTTTCTTAATTTTAAATCGGTTTTTTATTTCATCTAAAGAAATTTTTTTTCGAAAAAAATTTTTTTCCAATTTTTTTTATTTTTTAAAATTTCATGCATACATTACACGCAAAAAATATTCAAGAATTCCATCAGACAAACATTTTTTTGAATTTTTATTTTAAGAAGACTTAAAAGAATAGAAACGCCCAGCATTTTTTTAAGAATTTAAAATTAGAAAAACAAACAACCGGAAGAATTGGAAAAGAAAAAAAATAATTTTTTAAAGTGAACAACAAAGAAATTAATTTTAAAAAATAAAAAAAAAAATTTTAAAAAACCCTTGCAAAATTTAGAGGGGTAAAGAAGGGATGAATTAGAGTTGCGTGAAAAAATAGAGAAAAAAAAGAAAAGAAGAAGAAGAACACCGGAACTTCAACGACCACATAGTAGTGTAATGTTTAAAATGACAAAACAATCTAAAAAAATGTTTGTCAATCCCTCTCTCATGTGGTTTTAATTAACTAAGCGGAAATACTGTTGGAAATTGAAAAAAAATTTGTTGTGAAAAGAAAACAACATTTAAAAATTATATAAAGGCAGAGATTGATTTTAGTTTGTCTAAACATTGAACAATAGAAGAACAACAGAAAACATTATAGAAAGATAAAACATCATAGAAAAACATCAATGTTTAAATTGTGTTTTTGTTGATTAAAACAACATTAAAACCAACAAAACAATTGTTTTAAACAAACAAAACATCAAACAACAAAAACAATTAAACAGCCGAAAAACATAACAAAACATTAGAGAAACAGAAATAACAAACAAAACATCAGAAAAACGGAAACACCAAAACATCAGAAAAACAACATAAACACCAGAGAAACAAAAACTTATTGTTGTTATCAAACTAACAACAAAAACATTTATATTTAAGTGCTTGCCCATTTAAACACTGCCAAACCTGCACAACCTTTAAATAATTAGATATTATTCATAATGACCAGCACTGGTTGGCGACCTTTACCTTTAATACTTGGTTGTTTTGGTTGTTTATTCTCTGCCTTATTAAATATTTGGCGGTGGATATTAAGACAAAAATGTTGTCAGAATAATAATTATTGTTGTTGTTGTTGTTATTGCCATAATAGAAATATGGGAGGGAAAAAATCTTTAATTAAAATTGAAGAGGGAACAACAACAATTAACGAAGAACAACAACAATCAATTTCTGTAGATCAACCACTTTTACTTTTGTGTTCTCCTTTGCCATTAATAGAAGGTGTGGAGGGAGGGGGGGTGTTTGGGGATTGGGAAAGGAGGGTTTCTGGGAGGGGGGGGAGGGGGTGGTTGCTTAATTTTGTGACAAAATGTCGCAAAAATTTTATTTGTGTTTTCCTATGTTTTTAAGGAGAAAGTTTCCTAAGAATATTCTTAAAAGCTTCAAATATTTTTTTATTTTTGAATTAAAAAATTTTTTTTTAATTTACAGAGACTCCTCTTCCATCACTTGAAAATGAAATGCGCAAAATCCCATCCCAGCCCTTACCTAATAAAAAAGAAGCTGAAGAAACTCGAAGTTTGGATAGGCATTTATTTAGTGTAAGATGGAATAAAAGAGGAACTAGTACAACAAAAATAAATTCTAAAAATAATATTAGACCTTCATTAAAAGCTACAACAACACAAATTTTGGAGAAAAGGAAGAATAATAATTTAATTTGTGATAATTCTAATGGAGGAGATGATTTTGTGAGTTTTTTTAATTTTTAAAAGTAGACTAAATACAAGTGCTAGGGGAAATAAAAATTGGGGGTAATAAAATTTGGGGGGAATAAAAAATTGGGAGATAGCTCCGTAGTCGGCTCCCAGAGCAGGAGTCGAAATTTGAAAAAGCTCGGTGCTGACCCTATAATGAAATGCGCAAGGTCCTATCTCAGAAATTTGGATGGGCATTTATCTAGTGTTAGATGGAATAAACGTATAGTAGTACTAGTATTATAGGACTAGATGATTAATACCAATAAATTTATTTTTTGAATTAAACTTAATGGACATTTTTTCCCCTATTTAAATAAATTCTAAAATTCCTATAATTTTATTTTTCAATAAATAAACAAACGGAATGAATAGGGACTAAAATGATTAAATTAATGATTCACTCATTTTTATTCAATTATTTTTTTTTGGTTTTATTCCACACTATGTATATTTAGTATAAACTATACTAATAGATTTTTTGTAAATTTTTTATATATTTTTTAAAATTAGTTTTATTAATATTTAATTTTTTTGATTTAAAAAATTAAAAAAAAATTTCTTCAGGATTCACCAGCCGTTGCTTTAATCGATCCTTGTACATCCTCAGCTTCTAGTCCAGCTACTGCTGCCGTTCAAAATTCAAGTTGTATTCAACAACAACCTTCAGTTCCTCAACGATTAGCTGTAAAATTTGAAAAATATTTCTAAAATTTCCCAAATTTTTTAGTGTTTCTTGTCAAAACGTCTAAAAAGAACCAAAAGTTTTCCTAAACTTGCAAGTGCTCTAAGTAGAGATAAACTTACTGCAACAACAACAACAACATTAAATGGTATTGGTAAACAAGGAGAACATCAATTAAAAATCAGAGCAAGTCTTGGTTCGAATGCGTTGAGGTGGGTGTGAATTTTATAAAAAAAATTTTTTTGGTGAGAAATTTGAGGGGAATTGGAAAATTTTTTTAGCTTCTAGCTAAGGACCAAAAATTGAATTTGATTATGGGCTCAACTTCTGCCCCTTCTTACCCTTACTTTTTTTATTACAAAAAAAAGTTTCCATTTTTTTACTTTTATTTTTTATACACCCAATTTTGTATGCTTATTAATTAAATATAAAACAATTTTCGTTTTATATTTAGATAACATCATCATTGACCTTTCGTATCATTTCTTATTTCTTCTATTTATTCTTTAATTATATTTTTTAATTAATACAATATATTAATCTTTTGAGAAAATCAGAAAATTATACATACATAAAAATAATTTTTGAAGGCAAAATTAATCAAAATTTAATTTTAAAAATTCTGACGTGAACTCATTTTTTCTCTAGTTTCTTTATTGTCTCCTATAAGTACAAAGGATAATTTTTAATTGACCATCCTGTTAAAGGATGATCAACTGGCAAAAAGTTTAAATAGTAGGAACGTCCATTAAACTTCCATATTTTTATTTTTTCCAGACTTTGTAGTATTTAGTCTCGAATTATTTTTCCATTTTATCATAAATAATGTTGATTATTCAAATCAAAAAAATTTTTTTTTCGTATTTTCTCTCCTGAATTTTTTCACCTCTATCTCTATACAATTTTTGTATATTTAAAATATTTATTTTTCAGCTTACTATTTTTGTATCAATTTTTAGTATTTTTTATTTTCCACGTTTATAATCCACGTTTTATTTTTATTTTACTGTTTTCTTTAACATTTATATTTTATATTTAATTTTAGCTATATTTTTTTTTTATTTCATCAATCTAAAATAATTAAAAATTTTAATTTCATATTAGTAAGAGAGAAGTATGGGTATAGGAATCGATCCCCACCAGGAATTAAAATCCCCAAAATTCACTAAAAATCCCCAGACAGGAATCAACCTCAGGAATCGCCCTCTTGCTAGTGGCACTTTCGTTCAGGTGCTCTACCAACTAAACTCTATTTGAGGCACTGCTTTCACCTTTTTTTATTATTAGATTTCCCGCTTAGTAGCCAGCTGGATCTCATCTCCTTTTTTCTTACAATATTATATTTTTAATTATTTTTTTGTTTCAAAATCATTTAGTGTTCCTTGTACATCTTTCTTCCATTTTTCTTCTATTTTATAATGTTTTGTGTTGTTGTAATGTTTGTTTTTGCGCTTTTATTTAATGAAGCGACCGGATGCCCATGAAAAGATAACGGAAAAACTTAGGGGGGAAGAAGAAGAAGAACGGAAGAAAGAAGGGAAGAAGGGAAAAATAAAAAGGGGACGAAGATATAATTTTCTTTGGTGACACGGAAAACAATTGTAGTAGGAAGAAGAACACTGTGGAGGAGAATAATATTTTTCTTCTTCCAATTATTGATGAATGGAAAGAAAATCATTGAAGAAAATAACATTTTTCCTCTCTATTTACCCTTAAAAATTTGTCTCAACTTTCTCTCTTAAATAATTTTTTATTTAATATAATGCTTAATTATACAATGAGAAAATTGATCTTATTGTTAAAAAAAATTCATTGCGCGCAAAGCTATTTTCTCATCATTATTATTATTTTATTATGTCCTTATGCTTGCCTTTATCTTAATTCTTTATTAGCGAGTTTCGTCTTTCACATGTTTTTTTGTTCTGGATATCTTTTTTAGGTTATTCTTTTTTTATTTAGACTAGTCTGAAAAAGGAGCAGATCTGTCTAACGCAGAACATAAATAAATGTAAACAAGTCCGGCGTGGTACGTCAAATCATGCCAAAATCGTCTCTATATCCGATCTAAGCTGGACTTAGCTGCGTTAGATTGACCAGGCATCAGGGATGAGATGATCATGACAGATCATGACCAAGGATCCTGCCATTCCCGATTCCTGAAGATCTGTATTTCTGACGTTTTCTAAATACCGATTTCCGAAACCGGGAATTTATTGTTTGTTGACAGTACTCCCCTGGCATTCATCCTTCTCTAAAATTTTCTTTCACTTCCGTTCTCTAAACAAAATTATTCGACTCACAAAGTTTAAAGAATTTTTTCTTTGAAATTGGAGATTTTTGGAGAATAATAAGGCGCAATTTCCTTTTTTATTTGATTGTAAAATTGAATTATTATTTATTTACAACATTTTGGTTTCTTCTTTCTTCCTATTTATGGTTTATATTTTCTTCCTTTTTCTTCCTTATAAATTTCTTCCATTAATTCCACTCTAATTCATCCATTTTCAACAAATTCGTTCTGTAAAAATAATAATAATAACCGCCATTTGCATAAATAAAGAAACCAAAAATAACACCCAAAATTTATCCATCAATCTGTATTTATTATCCAGCTGTGCGCGACTTTTCCTTCTTTTTTCTTTTCTTAAACTGAACGACGAAGAAGAAGAAAATCTGCCGCGCCTTCCCACATATCCTTCCCTTAAAGACTTATCCGGTCTCTCCGTCAAAAATTTGCGGCAATAACAACAACCTCTTACATTATAACTTTTTAAATCGAGCATATTCACATTTTAATTTTTACAAAAATTTATTACGTACCTATTTAACTAGTATATTTTGTTTCATTATTAGTCTTGTTTTATATTTTAAGTTGAATTAATAGTTGAACCTCATTTTTGGATACTCTACCAAAACTAAAAGATACTCATCAATTTATTGATAACTCTTTATAATTTATAATTGGCCAAATAGCTCTGAAAGCTGTCTAAGACCTAGCTTGGTTATAAGTTTCGCAAATTTTTTCCGACACTAACAATGCGTATCTAAAAATGATGATAGATTCGATGAGGAGATTTTTTTATCTCCTCTAGAAATGAGGAGATAAAAAAAATTTTAAATTAACCTTGTAAAATTCTAAAGTAATTTTAATTTTTGCCAGATCTATTTTTGGCTTGTATATTTTTTAAATTATTTTTTTTTTCAATATTTTCTTTCCCGCATAAAATATATTATACTATTTTTTTGAATATTAATTATCCATTTTATTTTTTTATTTACAGATTTATTTAACTTATTTTTTTATCTTTTTTTACTCACATATTTGCAGCATATTTTTCACCCTTATTTTTTATTATTAAAATGCCATTTCCCCAATCCTTAGCACAATTTGCTATTAATCGTCGACATTCTCAACCAAATAATGGGGGTGGTTGTCCAACAAAATCTTCACTTTCTTCAAAGCTTTCAAAAAATTCTAATAAAAAGCCTTCCTCCCCTAACCCTCCGCCACCATTACCTCCAACCTCTCCCCCAACTCCTCTTCAATCAGAGCTTCCTCAACAAAATAATAGCCATGTTCGTCTTCTTCGTGGTCGTCGCGTTTTTCGTGTTGTTCGTCGGTTAGCAATAATGATGTTGATTTTTTTGGGAGAGAAATAAAATTTAAAAAAATTTTTTGGGAGAAAAAATAATTTTTTTATTGGGGGATGAAAAGAAACTTTTTTTTGGGAAATAAAAAATAAATAGAAATTGGGGATATAACTTTAAGATGAAAAATTAAAAGTAAAAAAAATATGTGAAAAATAAAAAAAAAATTTTTATGTCTAATTTTTTTCTAATTTTGTCTGTATATCTTTAATTTATTCTTAGAGTTATGAGTAAAAAAATGGGAACTTTATTTGTAACAAAAAATAAAGAGGGAAATTAATAAAATAAAATTTAGTTAAGTCTTAAAAATTTTTAAAAATATCTTTTAATAAAAAATAATTTTTTTTTTTAAAAACAGAACGGATCAACAACAACAACAACAAAGAAATCAACCTTTAAGTCTATACTTGCCTGGTCCAACAGAAGAAAAATTAAAAACATCTAGATCATATGAATCTTTATTGTTATTAAGCCAAGCAGGAGGATGTAATAATAGCAGTGTTTTACAAAAAAGTGAGTTTTCTTTTTTAAAAAATTTTTAAAAAAATTCTGAAAAAATTTTTAAAAATTTCAGAAATTCTAAAAAAAATTTTAATAAAAAATGAGTTTATTAATAAATAGTAGGACATTAATAATTTATTAATAACTACCCTGTAATCAACGTTCTCTTTTTCAAAAAAAAAATAAAAAAAAATTTTTTTGGGGAAAAAAATTGAGTACAATACACACAGACATCACACACACTTATTAACACATTCTTTTATAAAATTAAAAAATTCTTTAACGGCTTTTTTTATCTAAAATATTTTTAAATAAATATCAGTTTAATTTTATTGATAATACTTAACTATTAATTTTTTGCTTTTTGGTTCTTTTAATGATTTACAAAAATAATTTTTTTCGGAAAATTAATTTCTACAAACTAAAAATTTATATTAAAAAATTCTGATTTTTTTTTTAATTTTCTGATTTTTTTTCTCTCTGATTTATTTCCCTTTTAAAAATGCACTTCAATTTCTTTCTAAAATTCCAACAAATTTTTTGTAAAATTTTCAATCGACTTGTTACCTTTACCAAATTTAGAGAAAATAAAAATGAAAAAGGTGTCTAAAATTGTTTTTAATTTTTAAAAAATTTATTTTTTTTAAAGGTCCATCAGAATCCGAACACAAAATGTTGCTTCAACCTTTCCCTAATAACAACAATAAACAACCACAACAATTTCCTAATTTGTCTAGTCCAATAGATTCAAACAATATTTTATGTTCTGATAATAATAGAAGCAATATTGGTGGTGTTAATGGATATTGGCATAACAGGCTAGTTTTTAATTTTTTAGAATTTTTTAAATAAAAAAATTTTTTAAAAATAAAGTCAGATCTCAAATTTAAGTACTCTCTTAAGTGTTGAAAAAATTTTCTTTCTCGAGTTTATATATTATTCATGGGTAGGGTTATCGGTATTGGAATACCTTTGGATACCGGGAACCTAACCGGAAAAATGTTCGGTCTCACAAAGTTTCCAATCAAATTAAAAAAAAATTTCATTTTTTCTTAAATTTGAGCTTGACTTTTTTTCATTTAAAAAATTTTTTAAAATTTATTTTAATTTATTTTGACACAATTTTTTCTAATATTTTTTAAAAATACTACTAATTTTGTTAAAATATGCCCTCTTAATTTTTAATTTAATTTTAAGATTTAGTAGTATACTTTTCTTTCCTATTTTTTTTTCTCAATTTTAAACTAGTTTTTAATATTAAAAATACTCCAAAATTAGAGCTTTCTCTCCTTTTACAATTTCTTTCCTTTCTTTTATTTTCTTTATTTTTAAAATTTTTCCAAAAAAAAACTTTCTCAGAATATTAATCTAGAAATTATAACCAAACAATGAATAACCACCCAACCAACCACCCAACCAACCACACACAGTCAGTCTCTAGTTCAGTCCGCGCAAAGAGTGATTTGCATTTTTAATAGTTTATTGTAAATTTGTACTATTATTTTTAGTACTTTTCCTTCTCTTTCTTTTTTTTTCTGATCCGTCAAATTTGTAGTATTTATTTTCTTTTTTTTCGCATCTTTAAATTTATTTTGACTGTCACTAAATTTAGGGAAAAAAATTTTTTCTTTTCTTTTTATTTTTCTTTAGTTTTTCTTTCTCCTTTTCTGAATTTAGATTTTTAAATTTATTTCTACTAAATTGTCCGTGCATACACAAAGATCTTTATTAAAATTTTTTTGTATATTTAGTAACTCGAAAATGGCGTGACCCTAAACGAAAAAAATTTTTTTAATAAGCAAATTATGATTGAGGTGGAAAAATATAAATAAATAAATCTTTGCGCGAAAATTTTTTCAACTTTTAAAAATTAATGGACTGCAAATTCTTTTATTAATATTAAAAAAGATTTAGGCAAGGATTGGGCTCTAAAAAGGAATTTTAAAGAAATCTTTTGTAGTATTGGGTCTTTTATTATATTCCCATTTTACGAAAAAAATAATTTTTTCAGTCCTCACACGATCATTTTTATTAAATAAAACCCAGTGAAAAATCAAATTTTATTTAGAAAAAAATGTAAATCTTCACCGGAAAAAAAATTTTTATTTTTTGATAAACAAGAAAAAAAATTAATTTTGTATTTTTAAAATGGGTGGATTTAAATGAATATTATTATTGTTGGTGGTTTTCTAACTGTCCCCAAATTTAATTTAAAAAAAATATTTTAAGAAAGTACGACCTGTAAAAATATTTTTTTTATTTTCCATGATGGTTAATAAAAAAATTTTTTTTTTGTGTTTTTTAAGTAAGCAGGTGTATAAACCTAAAAAAATATTTTTTTATTTTTTCCATCAATCTATAAAGACCATATTTTATATTAAAAATTTGAACAGCGCAGATGGCAAAAAATATACAATTAAAAAGGAGAACGGCTAGTTTCATTTTAATCATTCATTATAATGTTGCGAATAATATTTTTGTAGGATTTTATTTTTTTAAATAATTCTGCCTTTTCAAACTAAAATTCAGCAATTTATTGGGATTTTTTAATAAAATCTAAAATCTTGAAAAAAATCAGCTCTGTTTCTTAGCAGACCCCTTTTTTGCAAAAAAAAATTTTTTAAGCAATCTGATTTTTTTTTTGAAAAATTGAATACACTCCCTTTTAATTTTTTGACCCAAAATCCGATCCGAAGAAAATTTTGAAGACTCGAACCGAAATTCGACCCGACTTTTTTTTAACCCTTGACATATCCTTGGCTAAAATAATTTTAAGAGTACCCTTTTAAACTTTGATTTTACAATTTTTCTGCTGATATTTTAGGACTTAATGTCCTCCTATTTTTTCTATTTTTGTTTTTTTATTTTTTTTCTCCTTCCCCTCATTTATCTTCATCCGTCAGCGATTTTTAGTATTTTTATGTCTTCCTATCCCCCCTCATTAAATACTAAAAAAATCCTTTTCCTATATTTAATCATCATTCTTTCTCCCTTAAATTGTTGTGTTCTCCTTTGCTCATTTTTCTAAGCTACAAATATATCCTGAAAAAAAATTTTTTTTGTTGTTGGCCACTTGTTTGCATGTATTAAATAATTATTTGCAATCAACCGCTTATATACATGTATTTTTTCTCTTTTAATTTACGTGTTTTTTTTTACTTTGTTTTCTATAAAAAAATCAGAAAAGTTTTATTTTTTGAAGGTTCTACTTGCAAAAAATTTTTAAATTTTTTTTAATTAACTGAATTTTATGATTATTTTTCGATCTACATATGGCGCGCGCAATTGTACCTCCCATTATTTACCGATATTTTCAAAGGTGTAAATAATAATTTTCCTTAGAAATTTTAAAATTTAGTCGAAATCTTATTTAGATATAGTTTCTTAAAATTAGTTACATCTTTAAATTTTTATTTCGGATTGCTGTTCAATGTGTGTGTGTAGGAGCTCTGTCTAATACTTCTAAAGTTTTTTTTCAACCACAAAAGCTTTTTTTTTTTATCTAAAAATGATGTTTTGACTGTTTATATTTTAGTATTTTTGTCATATTTTAATTCTTTTGTCTTTTGGGATATTTTTTTTATATTTTTCCTCTAGATTTGCATTAATATTTAATTTTATTTTTTCTTAATATTTACATTATTTTTGCTTTAAATATCTAACAATAAGAATATATATTTTCTCCAAAAAAGGTATTTTAAAGGAAAAGAGACTCGAAAAAAAATTTTTTATTGAAAAGCATTTTTCCTTCATTATTATTTCTTGTAAACCCCATTGGGGAATATATGCAAATGCTTTTTAATTTTTTTTTGGTTAGTTAAAACGGAAATGAATAGATAAAATTATTATTTTTAAAATTATTTTATTTATTTGAAGAGAGCGAGAGAGTTGCTAAAAACGTTTTTAAAGAATTAGGGAGAGAGGGTGAGAGTGTTTGAGGGTGTTTTTAAATTGAAGTGTTTTGCGTTTCAAGTTGGAAAGAGAATATTTAAATATTTTAATAATAAAACTTTTTTTTTTATTTTATTAGAAATAAGCATTTTTATAAATTAAACTTGCTGCGCTTTTATAAAAAAAAATGGTAGAAAAACACGCGCAACTTGTAAAAATTTTTCTTAATTTATAAAATTCATTTTTCTCTTTCTTTTCTTTAAAAATAATTTTTTAAAATATATGTATTTTTCTGTAAATTTAATTTAAAAATTTGATTTTAAAAATAATTATTAAGCCGAGATTTTAATATTAATTTCAGAATTTTTTTTTGATTTTTTAAAAATTTCATTAAAATTCAAAAAAAAATTTTCTTTTTAATCGATCCTTGAAAAATTTTTTTAGGCTATCCTTAATTAGAAAAATTATTTTTTTTTAAATTTATTAAAAAAAATTTTTTTTAATTTTAGTAATACACTCCAAACGACAACAACAATTCCAATGAATAATCTTAATAATAATTTTCCCCAACATAAATATCAACAACAAAAACAACAACAATTAAATAATAGACAACTTCAACAATCCTCAAACTCTTCCCGTATAGAAAATAGTTTATCAATTTGGATATTAGAAGCTAAAGGAATCCCTCCAAAACGAAAATTTTTTTGTGAAATTTCTTTGGATAATATAATTAAAGCAAAAACATCATCAAAAAGTTTATCGGAAGGAATTTGTTTTTGGGGAGAAAATTTTGATTTTCAAAAACTTCCTTTTAATAGTCAACAATTATGTATAGATTTAATGAGGGAACCAGAAATGTTAATTAATAATGGAGGAAAGAAGAGAAGAGGTGGTGGAGGTAATGGAAAATCTTCACATGAAGAATTACATTGTTTAGTTGGTCTAGTTAGAATTCCATTATCTCAACTTGTTGGTAAACAACCTATTGAAAAATGGTAAGGAGTGAAGATTTAAATTTTGGATCGTATAATAAGGTGACTTTGAGGAGCTTTACCCTCGGGGTTGAGATTGTAGTGGATAGGGGTTTGTCGGGGTAACAGAGCCGTTGGGTAAACAACCTATTGAAAAATGGTAAGGAGGGGGGGGGGGGGGGGGTGATTTTTTAAAATTCTTAAATTAAATTTTATATTTACTTTGAGGTGCCTTAAACTTTGAGGTGCCCTCTGTTAAAGGTCCTCAAATATTAAATTAACCTTTGACAATTTAATACACTCTGGCCTCACTAGAGCTCGATTTGTATCTGGATCCAGTCTGAATTTCTCCTGTATCCAGAGTCAAGATCCAGGCATATTTTGATCGTTCTGGATTTTTTACTGGATCCAAAAATTTACCTAGAGTCACAATTTAGTTTTTTTTCTATTTTTAATCCTTTGTCATTTCCCGCTATATATTTTTTATTACTAAAAATAGAAAAAAGAGATTATCCTCTTATTATAAACTTTTATTTTGTGAAAGACTATTTTTCATTGTTTTTATAAAAGACAAAGAGTGGATAACAAAAAAATCAAATGATTTATATTTAACTGAAAAAATTATTTTTGAGTAATAAAAAAAGAATAGAGGAGTGATTTTACAAAGGATTGGACAACTAGTAGAAAATAAAAAAAATTAATAATTAATTTTTTTTGCTAAAATAAATTTTGGGGACTCGAAAAAATTTTTTTGAACTTAAAAAAATTTCTAAAAATTTTCAAAAAATTTCACAAATTTTTTTTTATTTTTTCAGGTATTTAATATCGTCTGGAGAACCTTCACAAACATCTTCATCATCTACAGATTCCCAACCTTCTTTACGTTTGAAAGCAAGATATCAATCTGTCCAAATATTACCTTTAAATGCTTATTTGCCTTTTAGAAAGGTTCCCAAATTTTTAGAAATTTTTTTAATTAAAAAAATTTTTTCAAGTCTCTCCACACATATTTTCTTCCATTATGTACAGCATTTGAACCTATTTTGGGTGTTAAAGCAAAGGAAGACTTTGCCAATTCTTTAGTAAAAATACTTCATATAGAGAGGAATGCACCTGAAGCTTTGGCTGAATTGGTAATGGCTGAAGTTTTGACACAAGAAAATGGTAAGAAAAAATTGAGAGAAAGGATTTTGACTTGAAAATAATTTTTTTAATTTTTTTAGATCATCTTTTGTTTAGAGGAAATTCACTTGCAACTAAAGCTGTTGAAGCATATATGAAGTGAGAAATAAAAAATATTTTTGGATTAAATTTTTTTTAATTTTTTAGACTTGTGGCAACCGATTATTTACAGGTGTGGTTTTTATTTTATAAAAAAAATTTTTTTTTTTTTATTTTTTTTTGATTTTTTAAAATTTATTTTTGGGGCGAGTTAATTTTCCATTGTCTCTCTCTCCTAACTTGCTTCATGTTTGCTCCTCCTATGTTGCAACATTTCCTACTTGACTACTAAAACATTTTTCAATGTTTTTCTGTTCTGTTTTTCATGTTTGTATTTCACTCAAGTTTCAACTTTTCTTATCTCCCTATAAAAACAAAACTTGTCTAAACAAAACTAGGCGAACAAACATAAAACAAACTTTGCAACATTTTTACCAACCTTTTTCCAAACATTTTTACCAACATTTTTCCAAACATTTTTACAAACAAGTTTATTTACACAAAAACATAGGGGTTAAACAACAATACATATATTAATGTTGGAATAGAAATACAACATTTATTTACATAAGCATAGATATATTACAACACAAAAATTACAACAATTACATTTATATACATATATACAATATCAAGGAATGTGAATTTATTTATTTATCATCATCAAGTTTTTATTTATATTTTCTGTCAGCATCCTTTTATTTTCTGTTTTGTCCTTCAATTTCCTCTTTTATTCTTTCTCTTCATTCTTGATTGTCGTCATCGTTGATGTTGTTGGTGGTGTTGCTCGTCATAGCCTTATTCTCCACGCATTTACAGTCCTCCCAAAGAATATGGCCTTCAAGCGCGACTTTAGTGAAGTGACCGAACAGCTCCACTCGATGAACTCCAGGTGGCAATGGCTTGTGACTTTTCTTGTAGTTGTCCACACTGCGGCTACAAGTCGGCTTTGACGAACAGCTTGGTCCTGGCTCCTAAAAAAAGGGAGAAAAAATCTTTTTAAAGCAGGCTTTAAGCAAATTTTCTCACCTCCTCAAAGGTGAACGAAAGCCTTGCAACTCCCGAGCGTTTGCCTGCACTAGAGCAGCTAGTCCTATCGCTTATGTTTCCACCAGTAGAAGAGCGAACACACTGCAAGCGCGGTGGAGGCCAAATTGTTACTGGCGGCGACTCTGACGATGACGACGTATTGTTGGAGTTGTGGCTTCTCGATGCCTTCTTACTTGAGCGACCGCTGACTTTAGACTAAAAAATGGGAGGGAAAAAATGTTTTTGAGGATTAAAAAAGATAGGGAAACGTACTTTTGAGCCCATCCGGAAGCTGGTGATGATGATGATGAGAGAACAGTGCAGACCAAGTAGAGTTGAAATAGCAAACGCGCGACTTTGTTATAGCCGTGTGATAAATTTGAGGATTTTAAGACGGCTTTTATAGTGAAATTTGGGCAAGGATAGGGGGGGGGGGCTTTCTGTCTCCTTTCTTTTTCCACCAAATGATTTTCTTTTTAATTTTAAGATGGCTCTAGGCGACTTTATTAGACAACTACTTAGCAGCGATTTAAGTTGTGAGGTTGACCCTCTTCGTTTATGTAATGGAAATGCTTCTTCTTCCGGTTCATCTTCATCAGGTTCTGGTAGCAGCATTTCTTCCCAATTAGAAAAAAGTAGACAACAATTAACTAGACAAGTTGAAACTGCTTGGAGAAGAATTCTTGCATGTCAACATTTATTCCCCTATCCTTTAAGACTTTTATTTTCTGGACTTAGACATCGTTTAGAACAAGCTGGACGAGCTGAATTGACAGACAATTGTATGCATAGGAAAAGTATTTTAAATATAATTTTAAGTCGGAGAGAAAATTTTTTTGAGAGAGAAAGGGAGGGAATGTAAAAATTTTTAACGTACGTTCTCCTTGACTATCTTTCCGAATTTTCTGTTAGTCTCAGTTTAGATACCCCTCCAAAATTAGTTACACCTCAATTTAAAATATACATTGTTTATTTGAGGAAAGGTGAAGCACCCTAACCAATACCTCCTTTTTAGGGTGCTTCTCATGATTGTACACGATTTTTTCAGCAGCAACTTAGGGGTATCTAAAATTCGGGTTCTTAAGGGTTCATTAAAATCAAAAGATCTTTTCTTCTAATTAAAAAATATATTTTTCTATTTCAGTACTTTCCTCTTCCATTTTTCTTCGATTTCTCTGTCCAGCAATTCTATCACCTTCCCTCTTTGGATTAGTAAATGAATATCCAACTGGACAAGCAGCAAGAAATTTAACATTAATAGCCAAATCATTACAAACTCTAGCTAATTTCACTCGATTTGGCGGGAAGGAGGGTTATATGGAATTTATGAATAATTTTGTTGAAAGGGAATGGAGAAATATGGTAAATTAAAAATATATATTGTGTAGACTAGGCAACTTAAGGGTTTTTTATTCGAAAAAATTTTAGGGTTGTACCTCAAAAGCTCGAGGGCGGGTGTGTTGGGGTATGCGGAGTTTTCAAATTGTTTCGGGTTGGGGTTTGAGTCGTAGTCACAAAATATGGTTTGGGTTTGGGTAGGTTATAGTTGTGAAAAAAAATCGTTCGGGATTGGGGTCCCTTAAATTACAAACCTTAAAAATAATTTTAAATTTTTAGCAACACTTTTTACGCCAAATATCAGCACCATGTGCCCGTTATTGCCAAGCATGTGAAGCTCATGATAGTATGGTTGATTGTACTATAGACCTGGGAAAGGAATTGAGTTTACTAGCTAGCTATATGAGAGAACATTGTGATCAATTGATGGAACAACGAAAAGAAAATTTGAATTTAAATAAAAATAGTAATACAACAACAACATTAATAGCAATAAAACAATTGTGGAATTCATTAATGACAATAAGTAATTGGGGAAATAATTGTTGTGATAAAGAGGAAGAGGAGGAGGAGGGTAATGAAGAAGGAAAAAAATTTTTTAAGGAGGAAAATGAAGGAGGAATAACATCAACTATAGAAGGAGGACATAGCCCTGGAAATCCTCCTTCTGATTATGAAAATAATAATACAGTTATAACTACTACAACAGCAAAGGTCCCGGAGAGTTTGTGGAGACAACCACCGCCTATTCCAATGGCTAGAAGGACAGTTATGATACCTCAACCTATTGAAATCCCTTCTGAAAATAAATATAATAGAGGCAATTTATATGGTGGAGGAGGTGAAGGATGTCAACCTATTAGTGCTCCTCCTGTTCCGAATTCGCCATTTTCGGTAAGAAAAATTTTTCGAAAGAATTTTTATGATATTTGGTGTTATCTTCATCTTTTTATCTTTACAGTGTCAGCTTACCTCAATTTTAAATTCGTTTAGTTCCTCTTATATCTTAGTCTCTCAGGAACCTTCCGTCTTCCCAGGAACCTTTCATCCTATTCCATCCCAATTTATCTTATCTTCCAATTTATCTCCTAACATATCCCAACTATTTCTCAATTATCCCGCCTTTAAAAATTTTCAAAGGGATTGAGACTCATAGGATTGAGGAGAAAGATGAAGATATTGTCCACCAAAATTTTTAAAATTTTTTAAAATTTAAAATTAATTTTTTAAAAATTTAAAATTTAGTTTCATATTAAAATTTTTGATTTTTCTCAGGAACAAAAAAGCCGTTTTTCATTTTCCCCAAACAATAATAATTCTTATGTTTCAACAGCAGCAGTTCACCATTTAAATACTTCAGACGATTATGTTTTAAGTTCAGCATTATCAAAACTTAGAACAACAACAACAAAACCATTAAATCCTCCAACAAAACAACAATATTGGAATTCAAATAATTCAAGTTGTATACATTTATATGATGAAACTAATTGTAATAAAAGAGGGGTAGTAGTAGATAATTTACAACAACAACATTTATATGATGAAGTTCCAACAGATAATAATTTGGTGAGGAAAAAATTTTTTTGTTTAAAGTGCCTTTGGTAATCCTTACTTTTACTGGTCCCTAGAAAAAATGTAGAAGAAGTGCTTTTCGATATTTTTGAGTTCTGCCATTAGGTAATCAGGTGTGCTGAATCCGAATATGAGCTTAGAATATCATTAAAAATTTTCTATATGGGAACAATAAAATCTTAGATTATTTTAAAATTACCTGAGTAATTAATTGTGTTTTAATCTCTCGTTGGAGAAGAAGTAATTAACCGAGAAGGGAAATTAATTAAAATTGAATGTCTATTTCTATAGATTTTCTAGTTTTTGGGTTTATTTTTGAGCTAATTATTAAGGCCGATTGTTCCGGATACCTTGGTGATTTTACATGAGCCTTATTTTAGTCGTACCTTATTTTAGTCGTGAGAGCTGATAATCTTATTTTAATCTATCCTCTTCCTTATATAATTTGGCAAGAATTAAGAAATTTTTTAAAGACAATCTTACCTCCTCCATCTGCTAGTAGAGCTTTAAATGCTGGTGTAGTTATTGCACATAGAGGTGTTGCTAGCCATGAAGCAACTCAACGTAGAGGAGAATTGTGTACTCCACGTGTAATTCAAAGGAACGCTTTTAGGGCAATGGATGATGAAGCTGATGATGAAAGTGAATCTGAAGAAGATGGAAGAGTACAAGAAATTGTGGAGGAAAATGAAGAGGTGAGTAATAGATTCTAATGGAATTGGGCCTAAGAGGGTGCTTAGTAGCGACCAGTAAATTCGATTTTCCGGACCCGGATTCCGGATTTGCAACTTTAACCGGACCGGATCCGGCCGGATTTTTCCTGACTAACCTGTCCGGTTTTAATCTGGAGATTGGGAAAAACCTGGATTTGGGACCCGGACTCCGGAAAATTCGGTCGGATCCGGTCCGATGCTGGTCACTACTAATGGGGCTAAAAGGGTTCCCAAAACTGGATTTTTTCTTAAAAATTTTGATTTTTTTTAGTTTAATCAAAGACGTCCACCTCCAAATAGAAGGCGCCGTCCACCTTCAGCCAATGGATATACTAATTCTTCAATAATTTCGCATGTTAGAAATTGTTCTAGTGGAGAACAACAACAACAACATTATGGAATTTTTAATGAATCAATTAATAATTTTGATTCGTCTTCAGCTTCTGTTGGAAGTAATAATCGAAAAAAGATTGGGGGTATTAATCAAATGATAATACCTCCATCATCTGGATATCAAAGTCAATTAAATAGTAGTAGGTGTGTGTTTGTTTGATTTTTTTGTTGATTTTTAGGGGAAAAAATTAAAAAAAATTTTTTAAATTTTTTTTTGAAAATTTTTAAATTTCTTTTGAAAATTTTTTGAAAATTTTTAGAAATTTTGTTGAAAAATTTTTAAAAAATTTTTTTGAAATTTTTCGAAAATTTTTTTTTTGAAAATTTTTTAAAATTTTTTTTTGAAAATTTTTTTAGAAATTTTTTAAAATTTTCATAATTGTAGAAAAAAAATTTAAAAATTAAAAAAAAATTTTTTTCAAGTTATTCAAACTCTTCATCCCCTACAAATACAACAGAAAGTTCTCCACCTCCACCCTCCCAACAACAAACAACATCAATAATTAACAATTTAATTCAATCACCAAAAATTCTTTTAAAAAATCCTCCAAAAATTTCAAAAAATGTTTTTTCTTCAAATATAATATCTTCTAATAATTCTTGCCAAAGTTCTTCATCCTCTTCTGCATCATCTGCTTATTCTTCTCTTTCACCAACAAATCAACAGAAACAACAACAACAAAACTTGTTTAATAATAAATTAAGAAAAAGTGCAGAAAATGCAGCAATGCATTTGTTGGAAGAATTAAATGCTGGCAAATCAGAACAACAAACCAGAACAGAATTACAACAACAACAACAACATTTACCTAAACCCAGGCAAGTTTTTATTTCAATTAAAATTAATGTTTAGTTAAGCGTAAAATGTTTAGAAAAACATGTTTTATTGCATGTTTGTTTGATTTGTTTTGTTTGTTAAGTTTGTTTTGTTGTTGATGTTTTTCTGATATTTTTCTGAAAATTTTAATATGTTTTGTTTTATGTTTTTGGTTGTTTTTAACATGTTTTTCTGAGCATCTTTTGTTTTTGGTTGTTTTTAACATGTTTTTATGCTTTTGTTTCCCAAACATTCTTCTGAACATGTTTTCATTAAATTAAAATCAATTAAAATTAAATGTTTTGGTAAACAGAAAAACATGTTTTTATTGTATGTTTGTTTTGATGTTTGTTTGTTTGTTAAGTTTGTTTTTGATGTTGATGTTTTTCTGATAATTTTAATATGTTTTGTTTTATGTTTTTGCATGTTTTAACATGTTTTCTGAACTATGTTTTGTTTATTAATGTTTTTAAATGTTAAGAAATGTTTATGCGCATGTTTTGTTTATATTTAATGTTTAACGTTTTTATCAGATGTTTTTATTAAGTTTTTAGTTGTTTTAATATTGTTTTAAATGTTTTTGTTTCCCAAACATTCTTCTGAACATGTTTTCTCTTCATGTTTATATTTTTCAGAACAAACCCAAGTTGTTGGTCAATCCCCGCCTCTTCTTCTGGTCACTTACAACAACAACAGCCACAACCTCGTTCAGCTTTTATCGGTTCAAATCCAACAGATCCATTAACAGCCTTTGTTCGCTATCCCTTACATTCTTCATCTTCACCACAAAAAATTTCTCCAAAAAATTTAGAAGAAGAAAAGGAGGATTATCAAAGAAAATTTCCCCAAAAATTCCCAACATGTTCTGAAATTTATTGGCCAGAAAATAATAAAAACAAATTAATTTCTTCAACATCAGAAATTAATACGAACATTCCATGGTCAAAACAACAAATTTTATTACCTTCCCAACAACAACATGTTCCTCAACAACAACCGTCTCAACAACAAACAGCAACAATACCAAACTTGTTGGCTGCTGAATTGGAGGTGAGGGGAAAGGGAAAAAAAATTTTTTTTTAATTAAAAAAATTTTTTTCCTTTAAATTAGCTAATAGAAGCACAACGTTGCCAAATTGCCGAATTAACAAGACAAAATGCTGCTTTAAGGCAAGAATTAAATTCAGTTAGAGCTATAAGTAGCCAATATGTTGTTGCTGGGAGAGAAGATAAAATAATAGCTTCGACTGAGTCGATGTGAAAAATTATTTAAAAATTAAAAAAAAATTTAAATTTTTTTAGTTAAAGTTAAAAAACAGAAAAAAGCCTTTTTTGAAAAATCTGTGATCAACGAATTAATTTTTTAAATTTATTATTGAGGGGTGTATTTTTTGTTGTATTTATTTTTATGAATTTTAAAATATGCCTAGAATGAGTCTCAAATTTTTCTAATTAGAAAAAATTATAATTGGATTTAAAAATGCCTGTTTATCTTAGTAAATGTGACCATCCTCCCCTCTTATTCACTTTGGATTCCCCTATTTTAAGTATACAACAAAAAATACCTTAATAATAAATTTTTGTTTTTAAATTTTTGTTTTTAAAAATGCCTAATATTAAAAATTTAAAATAATAATTTTTATTTTTTAAAGTGCAACCTTTATTATTTTATTAATTGTCTTTTTTTTCTCTATCCAAAAAAAATTTTTTTTAATTTAAAATTTATTTAAAATGTTTTCCTTCTGTTAAATATTTTTTCTTTTGTTTGTTAAAAATAAAAAAAAAAGAATTTTTGGATAAAATATATGTAGTATGTAAAACAATTTTTTGGGTTTTATTTAAAATTTTTTTAAAAGAAAATAATCGTGTCATCAAAAAAAATATTTTTTTTGTAAATTTAAAAAAATTCCACGTTTTAAAACATCCATATTATTTTAGTAAATTTAAAAATAAAATTATGGAATAATCCACGTTTTACTTTAAAAATGGTCTTTTTCTCCTTCCCCTCAATTTTATTTTAAATATTTTTGATTAAAAAAAATTTTTTTTTTAATTTTTTTAAGAAAAAAATTTTATTTTCTTAAAATTAAGAATGCAAAGACTAGAATGTACAATACAAAAATACAAATGGGGCAAGAAAGGATTAACTGGACTTGTTGCTCAATTAAGTGGACTAATTAAAGTAGAAGAAGAGGAAAGTTATGCTGAGGTTTTTTTTTAATTTTTTAAAATTAAAAATAAAATTTTTTTTGAAAGCTTTGGATGGGTACACACAAAAATGGACCTTCCAAAATTAAAAATGAAGGAATTTTGTTGTCTGAATATTTTGAAAAAAATCCAAAAGTGCTTGGAGCACACGAGAAGAAGGGGCTGAATTTTCTTTTTAAAATACTTTCTGTGGGAAGTTCGTTGTCTGTGCAATCACACCCTACAAAGGTCTCTTTTTAGAATATTTTTGGGGTTAGAAAGTCGTTAAAAATTAAAAAAAAATTTTTTGAAAATTTTTTTAATGATTTTCCTTTAAGTAATTGGGGGACCCTTTGAAAAGTATTTTTCATTATTCTCTTTACCACAAAACTAATTTTAAATATATTTCTCTTAAGAGCAATGTGGTCTAGCGGGTAAGGTTTCCACCTCGCCAATTTAATGGTGAAGGTTCGAATCCTCTTGGGCTCAAATAATTTTTATTGTGTCTTTTTCTTCAAATTAAGTTTCCTTTTGGGTGTATTTTTCTAAAAAAAGATTTTTTTTAATTTTTCTAATAAATAAAAAAATTTTTCTAAAGGAACAGGCAATATATTTACATTCCAAAGACCCAAAAAATTATCCAGATGACAATCATAAACCAGAAATGGCTATTGCTTTAACAGATTTTGAATTATTGTGTGGATTTAGAAAGCCTGAAGAAATTTTGTCGAATATAAAATTAAATAAAGAAATTGAAGAAATTATTGGGGAAGAAGAAATTCAAAAATTTTCAATTAAAAATGATGAGGAAATGAACAAAAATTCTTTAAAAATTATTTTTACAAAAATATGGACAGCTCCAGAAGAGAAAATTAAATTTGTTTTAAATAAAATACTTGAACGTATTTCTAAAAGTTGGTTTTGTATTTTTTTATTTTTTCAAAATTTTTAAAATTTTAGTTTTATCAAGTTTTGCAGAAAATCCGCAATTAATACAGCTTATTTAAAAATAAAAAAGAAATTCTGATTTAATTAGAAAAATCAGAATTTTATAAAAACATTGTTTGAATTAAATTCTGGTTTTAATTAATTTTTCAGAATTTTTGTATTTTTTCCTAAAAATACAAAAAATTCTGATTTTTTACAACATGTTTTTGAGTCTTTTTGATGTTTTAATACAAATCAGAATTTTATTCGAACAATGTTTACACAAAATTCTGATTTTTATTTTTTAAATCAGAATTTTCTGTTAGTCAGAATTTGTAATTTAAAAAATTCTGATTATTTTATTACAACATGTTTTTGGGTGTTTTAATACAAACCAGAATTTTATTCGAACAATGTTTTTACAAAATTCTGATTTTTATTTTTAAATCAGAATTTTCTAATTATTTAATAAACTAATAATTTGCGGACTTTCAGCAAAAACCTGAAGATTTTTAATAAAAAAAAATATTTTTTAGAGGAAGAAAAATCAAATATTGACAATTTAATAATTCGTTTAAACAATCAATTCCCTGAAGATATTGGAATTATAGCTCCTCTATTTTTAAATTATTTTACTTTAAAACCTGGAGAAGCAACATTTTTGGGGCCGAATGAACCACATGCTTATTTATTTGGAGGTTTTTTTTAGAAAAAATTTTTTTTGGAAAATTAAAAAACTATACACTCCTCCACAAAAGTATAAGGGCACCTGTATTTTCGCAATTTTTTTACTTCCAATGATCCAAATTTTCTGAAAATTTAGATACACACCTTTTAGTGAATAACTAATAAGATGTGCATAGATTTTTGGCTGATTTTTTATTTTAAAAATTTTTAGACAAAAATTTGCATTTTCGGCCTCCACAAAAGTATAGGGGCACTTACAAAAAAGATATTTCCAAGATTAGAAAAAATCTACAAAAATTTTAGCAAACATACATAATGATATTATGAAAAAATAAAAAAGAACTAGACCCATATCTTTACCCGAAGCCGAGATCCTGAGACCCCGAAAATCAACGTAAATCAGGGGTAAGGTTCTTTAAAAAAATTTTTCGACCCCTTATGGATTGTTTTGAATTTTGATTTTGGGCTCATTCGAAAGCCCTTGAAATTTGCTACAAGATAGTAATACTCATATATCTCAGAATCAATTCAATAGAGATATGCAGGACGTTAATCTTCCGTAGCTAATTTTATGGGGCATTAGGGCGTTTTATGTGTCTTAGAAATTTAAACCTTAGGAACTTAATGAGATAATTTTTCTAGAAAATAAAACTTTTGCTATCTTGTAGCAAATTTCAAGGGCTTTCGAATGAGCCCAAAATCAAAATTCAAAACAATCCATAAGGGGTCGAAAAATTTTTTTAAAGAACCTTACCCCTGATTTACGTTGATTTTCGGGGTCTCAGGATCTCGGCTTCGGGTAAAGATATGGGTCTAGTTCTTTTTTATTTTTTCATAATATCATTATGTATGTTTGCTAAAATTTTTGTAGATTTTTTCTAATCTTGGAAATATCTTTTTTGTAAGTGCCCCTATACTTTTGTGGAGGCCGAAAATGCAAATTTTTGTCTAAAAATTTTTAAAATAAAAAATCAGCCAAAAATCTATGCACATCTTATTAGTTATTCACTAAAAGGTGTGTATCTAAATTTTCAGAAAATTTGGATCATTGGAAGTAAAAAAATTGCGAAAATACAGGTGCCCTTATACTTTTGTGGAGGAGTGTATTCGAACCTCATTCTTGGATAGACCCAAAAAATTAAATACCTCTTCCAATTAAAAAAATTTATTTAAAGTTTTAGTTAATTTTTTTGGCTGTAAGGAGGAGAGAAGAGCCTCTCAGCTCTTCTCCCTTCAATTTATTTTGAAGAGCCCTTCAATTTATTTTTTTTTCTTCAGAAAAAATTATGATTTTTTGATTTTAAATGGGGGTATCCAAGAATAAGTTCCAAAATAGAAATTTTTATTAAAAAAGTTTTCTAAATTTTGGTAGGTTTTGGGTGATGCAAGGAGAGGAGAAAGCGCCTCAGAAATACCTTCCCTTCAATTTAATTTTTTCTTCAGAATAAAATATAATTATTTTTCAGGCCGAATGGGGTATCCAAAAAAAGTTTTGAAAATAATTTTTCTCAAAAAAATTTTCTATTCTTAAATTTAATTATTTTCTTCAGATTGTGTTGAATGTATGGCTCTTTCCGACAATACTATCCGTGCAGGATTGACACCCAAATTTAAAGATGTAAAAACTTTGTGTGAAAATTTAACATATAAAATGAGTGGTCCTCCAATTTTTGAATCTAAAAAACTTGAAAATGCAATTGTTGAATATGCACCGCCAGTTGAAGAATTTGTGGTACATAAATTGGATGTAAGGAGGTTTTTTGATTAAAAAATTACTTTTTGAGAAAGACTAGAAAATTGGTGGGGGGGGGGGGGGTTTATTGGGTTTCCTGTCCCTCTAATTCCTAGGAACTAGAGATCGAGCTGGATCTGGACTAAGGCCTTGGTTTTTCCTGTACACAGAGTCCAGGTCAAGGCATTTTTTGACCTTCCTGGGTTTTTCCTAGGCCTGATTTTTCCCTGGACTACAGGCCCAGAATCCAGTCCATGTTATTAAATCAAACTCCAGAGTCCTTAATATGTCCAGGCTTTTCAAAAATCTCGATCTCTACTAGGAACCACATGTTAGAGTAATAGGCCTGCAAAAAGTCTATTTAAGTTCTCGTCTAATTTCTCGAATTTTTCTCCAAATTTTTAGTAAAGGAATTTAAAAATTCGTTCCGCGACGGTTAAAAAATTTTTGGGGACATTGTTGTTGTTGTCATTTTATAATTTTAAGAGTTTTAAATTAAAAAAAATTTTTCATTAAAATATATTTTTAAAGAAAAACGTTTCAATCCTTCAATCAATCCAAGCTGCTTCAATAATGATAATTATATCAGGCAAAGCTTTATTAATTTTAGAAAAAGAAAATTTAAAAGAAGAAATAGTTAAAGGGGATATTTTGTTTATACCACAACTTTATGAAGCAAAAATTGACGAAAAAAGTGAAGATTTTTTGGCTTTTAGAACTTTTACTCCAATATTTAAATAAAATGAAAAAAGAGAAGAGAAACTAATTTTTAATTAAATTTTTATAGAAAAAAAATAAAAAGAAATTTTTATTTTAATTTTTGCAGAGCACATATTTCAGTTGATAATTATTTTTAATTTTCATTTCCAGTTTTTTAATCACAAAAAATTTCACGAGAAAAAAGTTATACTTTTGTGGGTAATTTATAATTTTATTCAATTTAAAAATTTGCCAAAATTTGGTGTAATGTCTAATACGCCAAATAAATGACAGTTTATCCCAAAAATTAATTAAGTTGAGTAACGGACAGTTGAGTCTGGCGGCTGAAAATTGAAGAAATTAAACGGGACGTTTGGGTGCGGCAACTGAGTGTGATGAGGGAAATTCTTAAAAATTCTAAATTTTCAAAAAATCGATACTAATCGATAAAATCGATACTAATCGATAATTTATTTTTTAAAAATTCTAAATTTTCAAAAAATCGATACTAATCGATAAAATCGATAATTTATTTTTTAAAAATTCTAAATTTTCAAAAAATCGATACTAATCGATAAAATCGATACTAATCGATAATTTATTTTTTAAAAATTCTAAATTTTCAAAAAAATCGATACTAATCGATAAAATCGATACTAATCGATAATTTATTTTTTAAAAATTCTAAATTTTCAAAAAATCGGGTTTTCATTTCTGCAATTTCGCTCTCAAAATGAGCACCGAACTGACCATAATAATTATTTTTTCTCCAACTACACTATTTCTTCTTTACACTTTCTCTAAACAACAGGGACTCATTTACTCGTTTGTTAATTACGGAACATACAAGTTCCTGTTGAGTCCTCAATGTTTTTATAAGACACAACAAAAACAAAGCCAAGACATTTTATACAACAAAAATAAAAACCAAAAAATTAACACCAAAAAATTAAAAAAAGATTGTTGTAGAAGCACCAATTGGCATGAAATCCATTAAATGCCCATCTTGTCGTTGTTCTTCCTGTTGTTGTTGCTGGGAATTGTTCAAGTCTGAAAGAAAAAAAGCATTTTGCGTGATTTTGGACCTTATCTCAAGCTCAAAATCTCCGTAAATTTTTGATACAATGGGTAGATTTGGGGGACAAGTTCAATGAAAACAGTCTGTTATAAATAGAACAAGGTCTCAAATGTTCTTTGGGGAATACAAGAATGCTCCCGAGGAATTTAGACGATGTTGGGACAACGAAAAGAAAAAAAAACAGATAAATTCAAAATTGTATCAATAATTACAAATCCTAAAATCGTTCAGAAATCCACTCAAAAAACCCCTCAACTAAAAATAAATAAAATACCATTGTCTCAATCACGCCTCCTTCCCTTCCAAACATGCACAGCCAAAAGCTGCCAGTTTTTGTCTGCCTCGGCCAGGAACGTCCAACCAAGGAGTGTGTTGATTCGAGTTGAACATGTTTAAAAAATTTTTTAAAAGAATTCTTAAAATCATTAAATAACCTTTCAAGCCAGGGTTTCAAGAGCATGTGTTGTATCCAAAGCAACATAAAAAATTGTCCAAAGGGTTGCCGTCATCAATTGGCCTCAAATCTAAAAGAAAATGATTATTCGGTGAAAAATAAAAAAGAAAACACCCAGAGAGTATTGAACCCGCGACCTATTCTCATATAACCAACAACGCTACCAACTTAACCAAATGATCTTATATGCAAGCTCCAAAATTTTTCTCTATATACAAATGTGAACTTTGAATTTGGGGGATGATTTCTAAACATTAAACTCAAAAGCCCCGTAAAATAATTAAAGACCTTTCACACTTCATAATCTGCACATCTACAAGCCAAATAAATGCAACCAAGCAATTGTCTTCTTGTTGAAGCGATGCACTTTGCCAGCTGTCCTCTGTGATGTGGAATGTTGTGATTCAACCGTTCAGCCATTTCCTATAAAATCAAAATCTCATTTCAGCCAGACAAAAAAGAAAAACCTGAATAAATTCTGCAGTTTGTCTTCTATATTTAAGTTCAGCAGCCGAATCAATAGACATTTTAGATGGAAGCCGAGAAAGCTTATCGTCCGCAAAATACCATTTTGGTTTCTTTCCAAGTTTTCTAGATAATGGAACTGGTTCTTTCATCTTTCAAGATCCATACTGAAAGCTTTAAAAATATTTAAAACCCCTTCCCTTTACCAGAAAATTGCTAAACACACTTTCTAATCGAATTTGGGAAAGAGGATTGATAACAGATTAACTCAGAGATTATTTGCGGACAAAACTTGCTGGTGTGAAAAAAGGCAAAAGACAAACCTTTTAATTTTTAAAAAGATTCCATGGACGTTTAAAGTGCTTTGATGATCTTTTTGCTTCTTTCTTTGTTGTTCTTCTTTGTTGATTTTTTGTTTGTTCTTCTTTTTTGATTTTTTGTCTGTTCTTCTTTTTGTTGATTTTTTTGTTTGTTCTTCTTCTTTTTGTTTGTTGCTGCTGGACAATTCTTAGAGGCATGGCACTAAATAAGTTAAATGAGTTTGTTTAGGCAAAGTTATAAACTAACCATAAAACTGATGAGCAGTTATCAAAGTACCATAGAAGCAACAAGTCCCGGAAATGCCAGCCAGACGCCGCAAATGCCAGACAGAACCCCACACAGAAGGAAGAACTCCAAACAGATGCCAGGAGAATTCCATACAACAGCCGTTAGAACTCCAACAAAGCCAAACTCCAAACAAATGCCAGAAGAACTCCTACAGATGCCGAAGCAAATGCTAGAACATTCCCCCGACATCTGACGGAACATTCGCACATTGTCGCAATTCTTTCGCACAGTTGCTGGGTTATTCCCCTGCACATTAGCCGGAACATTCCCCCACATAAACAGATGAAGAACTCCAAACACTGCCAGAAGAATATCATACATTGCCGTTAGAACTCCAACAAAGCCAGACTCCAAACAAATGCCAGAAGAACTCCTACAGATGCCGAAGCAAATGCTAGAACATTCCCCCGAACATCTGACGGAACGTTCGCACATTGTCGCAATTCTTTCGCACAGATGCATGGTATTCCTTCGCACATTGCCGGAACATTCCTCCACAAAACTAAAACCCACGCAACACGCCTAAAGGACGCACGCAAATGCCAAAGGGGACTTGTGCTTTTGATGTTGGAGAAGAGAGCTCCACATCCGCCTCTACTGCTAAAAATATGATTTCATTTCAAAGTTAAAGGAAACTGAAACTAACGTTTTGAGACAAAACCAGATTGATGAAGTCCAGATGCAGCAGCTTCTTTGGTTGCAAAGCATACAAAGCACTGAATGAAAAAAATAAAGAATGTTGTTAGCTTAAAACACAGCAAGTTTTGTCCGCAAATAGGAAAGGGAGAGAGGGAGAAAGGCAGCTGATTTTGTGCCAAATTCAAGCCAACTGTGTTTGTAGAGACCACCAGCATCATCGGTCATCTAATAGTTCTAAAAAAGAAAAATAAATAGGAGGCAAATTAATTAGTTGAATAAAAATCGGGGCATTTTCCACCCGTGGCGTAAATGGTAGGTTCACTTGTTAAAAAGGGGGATTCGAACTCCAACGAAAAACCAAAACAATAATCGAAAATTCAACTATGTACACAAAAATAAACTAAAATCCAGCTCTATAAGGAAACATAAAAATGCCTGACGGGCTCCGGATATCGACCCCTTTCCGATATTACCAGTGTGTCGATAACAAAAAGCCACTTAACAAAAGCTCGAGGGTACACCCGTCCTTTCATGTGTGGCCACACATTACTCAATATTTACAAAAATCGGTTAAACAAGGTTTCGTGGATCTGAGGGAACATGGTCGAAAACAAAAACTTTTACAAACCTTAAGCATCAACAGCTCCAACAGCATTTGAAGAGACGACAATTATGTTTTGAGGGTTCAGGATTTGTCCCTCTATCCAAATTGCTGAACTCGTTCCTTGTTGTTTTCGAAGTTGGAGAGATGATTTTATGGGAGTCTGATGTGGTGTTTTGAAGTACCTGAAAGACAAGTTTGACATTTGAAGTATTTCACAAAATTCCAGACCTTATCTAATGTGCTGGTTGAAAAATTGTACAGTTGTTTAGAAGGATTGGAGTAAGTTGAGGTAATTGAAAATGGGTTGAAGTAGAATAATGTTGATGGGAGCATGGGCAATTAATTGTTGTTCTTCGAATAAATGTTTTCCCCTAAAATAAAAAAAATTGTTTGTCTTGTTTTGACAAAAATAAAAGTGGAAGAAAGGCTAGCAGCATTCGCTCAGACGGCCTAAGTACACTTTACCGGGCGATTTTAGATTTTTATGATTTATATGTCAATCGAAAGAGCTCGGCGAGCTGAGTCGAATGACACCAAAATTAGCCCGCGGACTCAACTATGGACCGAGATATGGGTCCCCAAAAATCGAAAAACCATAGGGGGGACCAAGCACTTTTTTGGGGGTAAAAAGTTCGAATATGCAAATTATACCTCATTCGAAAGAGCTCGTCGAGCTGAGTCGAATGACACCAAAATCATCGTGATTGGACAAGTTTGGACAAAGTTACGATAGAAAAACTAAAACCTAAACCTATGGAGCGTCGGCGAGGCGCTTGTGCAAAACCCCGCGCTTCGCGCGGGGTTTTGCGGCACGCGCCTCGCGGGGAGTCTACGGGCGCTGGGTCTGGGCTCGTAACATAAACCTATTCCTATCTTCCTTGCTCTGGACGTATTTGGGGCCTCCGTAGCATCGAAAATCTCCACAGATGCCATAGGTAAGGAGCTAAAATAAAAGATCATAACTTTGTCAAATCAAATCGGATTTCGTTGATTTTGGTGTCATTCGACTCAGCTCGACGAGCTCTTTCGAATGAGGTATAATTTGCATATTCGAACTTTTTACCCCCAAAAAAGTGCTTGGTCCCCCCTATGGTTTTTCGATTTTTGGGGACCCATATCTCGGTCCATAGTTGAGTCCGCGGGCTAATTTTGGTGTCATTCGACTCAGCTCGCCGAGCTCTTTCGATTGACATATAAATCATAAAAATCTAAAATCGCCCGGTAAAGTGTACTTTAGCCGCTCAGACAGTAAAAACGCGTAGTGGTTAGAGAAAAAGAATTCGCAATTTTATTGATTTTCTTAGCAGCGTCTGCTCAGACATTAAAAACGCGTAATGGTTAGAGAAAAAGAATTGTCAATTTCCTCACTCATGCTCTCTGACATGAGCAAAGTCAGACAAATGTAGGTATTATGAAAAATTTCCCCTTATGGGCGTTTTGTCTTTTCTTGTTTAGACATTTCCGCCGGATCTTTCCGGATTAATACGGTCCGGAAAGATACGGAGATCTCGAAGAAACCCGGATTTGGAATCCGGATTCCGGAAAAATCCGGCCGGATACGGACTGGGACAATTCCATGCCAGCTGATTCCGTGCCGTTGAATCCGTGCCCGTTGTAAAGGGGACGTTTCCGTGCCCAATTTTATTTTTCCTACCTTTTTCCATTTTTCCACCCCAAAGTTAGAGAAAAATAAGTGAGAAATAGTGTAGATAGAGAAAAAGTGTAAAAAAGGAGAAACGACAATTTGCCAATAAGGGTAGGAATATTCATTTTACCAACAAATTTATTGGCAGAACGTGATTTTTTAGCCTTTTTGGCAAAATAAGGATAACACGAAGTGAGAAAAGAAAAACTCGACAAACTTCTAATCGTTCGATGTTTCTTTTCTAGAAACACGCCCAAGTAGGCGCGCGGCCATAACGGCGCAAGGCCATAACCTGCTGGTAAATTTCTGGCCCTTACCAATTTTGGTACCAATCTCTTTATCTCGATGAGAGGAATCGTTTAATACCAAATTTGGTAAGATTCGGAAATTTTGAAGCAAGTTATGGCTTTGCGCCGTTATGACCGCGCGCCGACTTGGGCTGTACCTTATTTTTCTAGTTTCCGTTAATTAATTCAATTTTTGTTTAGATATTTAAATTCTAAATTCTTTTTAAATCAAAAAATGTTCGCTCCTCTCGCTTCTCGTCAAGTTGCTATTATTGCTCGTTCTTCGAATTTGCGTCCAATTTTCTTTCCTGTTCAAGCAATGCTTCAACCTAGCCAGGCAATGATGTTTAGCACGACTGCTGTTCGAAAGGATATTGACAGTGCTGCTAAATATATTGGAGCAGGTTTATTTTGTCTTGAAGTTTTATTAACGTCTAATTTGAAGGGGCTGCTACTGCTGGTGTTGCTGGTTCTGGGGCCGGAATTGGAAATGTTTTTGGATCGCTGGTATTTTTTGATTTTTTGTTTAATTATTAGGGTTTGTTTGCTCTTTGAGCCTTCTCGAAGACTGGAGGTCTACCTTCCTTATATACATCCAGAACATCTTGGGGAGGATTAGGGTCGATGTTTCAGCTACCCTTGCTCCGAGCTCCTCATTAGAGATCGGAACTTTTGAAAAGCCTGGACCTATTCCTGGCAGGCCCGTAGCCAGGGGGGGGGTGGGGGGGGGAATTCCCCCCCCCCCCCCCCCCGAAATGGGAAAATGGAAAAAATTTGGGGAAGGGCTGGGCAAAAAAAGTGAATTTTTTTGGCCTACGGCCTCTGAAATTTAAAAAATTTTCGCCTGTGGCGCTAAAAAAGGACGAAATCTGGCTTCTTGAGGTCCAAAATTCAAAAAATTTTCGCCTGCGGCGCTGAAAATCAAATTTTTGGCGCCTGCGGCGCCGAAAAAGTGAATTTTTTTGGCCTACGGCCTTCTAAAATTCTCAAAATTTTCGCCTGCGGCGCTGAAAATAAAAATTTTTGGCGCCTTCGGCGCCAAAAATTTGGCGCAAAAAAATTTCCCCCCCCCCCCCCCCCCCGAAAAAAAATCCTGGCTACGGGCCTGATTCCTGGACTCTGGAGTTTGATTTATTGACCTGGGCCGAGTCTTGGGCCTGTAGTCCAGGAAAAACCTAGGCCTAGGAAAAACCCAGGAATGTCAAAAAATGCCAGGACCTGGACTCTGGGTACATGAAAAACCCAGGCCTTAGCCCAGGCCCAGGCCAATCTCTACTCCTCATCATCTTGCCTCGTCAGATTTTCTTTCTCAAATGAACCATTAAACTATTTTAACTTTAATTTTCAAGTTGATTGGATTTGCTCGCAATCCTTCGCTTAAACAGCAACTCTTCTCTTATGCAATTCTTGGATTTGCTCTGTCCGAGGCTATGGGACTTTTTTGTTTGACTATGGGCTTTTTGATTCTCTTTGCCCTCTGAAGAAGTTTTAAAAGAAAAAGTATAGGTTGAAAGTTTGATTTTTTTGTTGTAAAACAATTTAAAGGTTTTTGTTAAATGGAAAATGAAATTTAGTTTTTGTGTTGGTTATTTTGTAATAGAGAATAAATTTTGAACTAAAAAGAAAAGAAATTTTTTTGTTTATTTTTGTTGGTTAATAATCTTTGAATATTTTTTTTGGAATTTTTAGAATTCAATAATCTTTAGAATAGCTTCAGTGGTTTAGCAATTAATTTAGAATGCCAATTTATGAATTTACAATTTATTTTAGGCCGATGGTTAAGGTATATTATTTGTTTAGTTTGAGGTTTTTTATTATCCATAGATAGGAAGGGAGGGGCTTCATGCTGTTTATGGAGGAGAGAGGTGGTTGGGATATGTCCAATGGTTCCCATCTCCCAAAAAACACTGATATGGGCCTAGGTTGGGTTATGTCCGCAAATATTGTTTAAGCTGTTTCCAGTCCACCTCTATGGCAAGGTTCTCTCTTCGCCCCTGTGGCCTTTCTTAACTGGTCTCTCTCAACCCCTGTGGCAATTTTGCTTCTAGGCTTCCGACGGGGAATGGTCGTACTGATTGCAGACATTTTAAAGGATTTTTCAAATTCAGGATTTGTTAGCTGATTCAATTAAGAAGAGCGCTTTGTGTTTATTAAATCAAGGAGGCGTAATAATGAATATGCAAAGTTTGGGATATAGGGACTTACCAATGAGAGCGATTACAAAGCGGACAAAGGAAATTGTTTACACGACAAAGTTTGTTTTTTAGTTTATAGGCAGGCCCGTAGCCAGGGGGGGGTGAGGGGGGGAATTCCCCCCCCCCCCCCCCCCCCGAAATGGGAAAAAGGAAAAAATTTGGGGAAGGGCTGGGGCAAAAAAAGAATTTTTTTGGCCTACGGCCTCTGAAATTTAAAAAATTTTCGCCTGCGGCGCTAAAAAGGAAGAAATCTGGCTTCTTGAGGTCCAAAATTCAAAAAATTTTCGCCTGCGGCGCTGAAAATCAAATTTTTGGCGCCTGCGGCGCCGAAAAAGTGAATTTTTTTGGCCTACGGCCTTCTAAAATTCTCAAAATTTTCGCCTGCGGCGCTGAAAATAAAAATTTTTGGCGCCTTCGGCGCCAAAAATTTGGCGCAAAAAATTTCCCCCCCTCGAAAAAAAATCCTGGCTACGGGCCTGTTTATAGGTATATGGGTAATTGGGGGAGGTGTGAGTTTGGTTTATTGAATGACCAGACTTTATTTCGAAGCGCTTGGCTGGGTCTTGAGTCTAGTTCCGAGAAATGCAGCAAATTCAAAAGGTTGATTGATCTCTAATGGTTGTTAGATTTGTTAGAAGATTCAATAATGTTTAGTGTTCCATATTTGTTCTTCCTCTACTTTTAAATCCATTCTAAATTTTTTAGTTCAATGCTCTTCAACGTTTCCTTGCCAAAAAATTTGAAGGCGCCAACTATTGAGTTGCTCAGACAGGATCCTGATTTGGTTTGTTTATTTTTTAGAGGGAAAGTTTGGCTTGTCGTTGTTGCTTTTTTGCTGTTAATTTATTGGAAGGCTGTTAATTTATTGAACAAAATTATCGAGCTAAAAATCGAAAAAACTTCATCCCACTGCAAGGGCTTAAAACAAATGGCAGGCCCGTAGCCAGGAGGGTGTCCTTCCCAGAATTTTACTAATTCCCACGTTTGACGCTTTTTATTTTTAAGCTCAAAGTTTATGCCGTCGATACAAAGGATTTCCAAGAACCGCCAGAATCTTGTGATTTAGAATTTATGCTCAAACCTCCAGCCTATCGACAATCAGTAGAAAATCTTCGTTTAAACAAACAAATGTCATTTGTTGGGGCTTTCAAAATTTATAAGAAAACGGAGGCAGAATATCGAAATATTCCAAAATCTTATTTTATTCCACTTAGCAGACGTTGAGGAAGTTAAAATTGTTTGAATTTTTAATTTTTTGATAAAGGAAAAAATTTCAGGTTTATTTTTTTAATTTTTAATTTATTAGGTGTGGGGAGGCTTCCCTTCAAAAAAAATTTTTTTAACAAGGATAGGTTGTGAGGTGTCCGACCTAAAATCGGTTGATGTGAGACCGGGCTCATTCCTTGTAAAATTTACATTTTCCTCAAATTAAAAATTTTTTTTTGGCTTTTTATTTGACCCTTTACTTTATTTAATTCCTTCTCTTATTTTTCCTTTTATTTTCTGATTCATTCATCTTTCATAGTAAATTCCTGAGAATTTACAAAATTAATTCAAAATTCTTTTTTAATCTCTTTCTCGGAATTTATTTGTAAAGTTTAAAAGTAAATAGGCCAATAATGATTTGTTCCTTCAAATAATTTCTTCTCTTTCTCTTTAATTTTTAATTAAAATTCTCTCAAGAATTTTTCTAGTCCCTCTCCATTTTCTACAAACAATTCACAAAATTTAAATAAAATATTTTCGTCTCTAAAAATTTATTTTTAGGGTCAATATATATTCTCTTAAATCGATTTTTCTCGACTGGCTAAATTTTTGTTTGTTTTGTTTTTGTATTTATGCAAATTCTCTTTTAGAAAAAATTTTTATTTTTAAAAGAATTTATTCTCCTCTCCAAACTTTTCTCTCTACCACCAGCAGAGCTGCTTTGATCCTCTTTTTTCGTTTTATTTTTATTCGGACAGTTCAATCATTCAACATTTTATCGGTCCTCAAGTTTTCCAAAAAATTTTTTTTTAATATGAACAATAGATTAGGGAACATGTCCTTATCATTCTAAATTATTCAAAACTAAAATTTATTTTAATTGAACAGATTAACAAAAAAAATATTTTTGAGAGGAAAATAATCTCTCAAAAAATATTTTTTTTATTAAATAATTGTTACATATGATCTACTTCTTTATTCTAATAATAATTAATATACACGCAAAAAATTAAAAAAATTTCCGTTGTTCATTAATTGGAGTGAACAAAAAAATATAATTGTTTTTATTTTCAAATTAGTATTCCCTTCACAATATTTTTTTATTCCTAAATATTTCCTCTACAATTTTTTAAAATTTTCTTATCTTTTTTTATTTTTTTTTCTACCGCTTCTACAATATTAATTTAATAATTTAGGTATATTTTTACAAAATAAACTTTTAAATATTTACCCACAACCTTTTTTTCTCTCTTCTCAAGCATTTAAATAAGGAAGACCGCAAAGTTTTTTATTTAGATTTTTACTATTCTTCTTCGCGCAATTCTTTTTATAACAAAGAAAGGGCTGCTTTTCAATGACCCATCCACCCATTTAAGTATTTTTTAATTTTTTTGTTATTTTTTGGGTATTTTATTATATAAAATTTTCTTCCTTTTTTTTGTCCTTTCTAAGAGAAGAATTATGTAAGGAGAAGAATCCTCCTCTTGTCGAATTTTGGGGAAGAAAAAAAGGAAGGAGAAAAGGGGATTTTTAAAAATAAGAAAGGATAAATAAATGCGTGAGGATTAAATAAAAAAAAATTTTTTTTTTATTTTTTAATAAAATTTAAATTTAAATATTAAAGCTTTCTGACCTTGAAAAGGGTTTTCCTCTTTATTTCCTCTTTATTTTTTTTGGAAAATACTGTTGTGATTTTATTTTTGCGGATATTCCACAACCCCCAATAGGGGATAACAAAACGATTTTTCTTATAAGAGGGGTAAAAAAAATAAGAAAAATTTTCCTTTAATATATCAAGGTCAATATCTTCGAAAAAAATTGTGTGAACGGTCCTGTCTCATTTAATTAGCTAATAAAAATATCCTCTCCCTCCAATAATTACTCTGTTTTTATATTTTCCTCAACACCTTTCCTCAATCCCCTAAATTTATTTTTTCAAAAAAAAATAAAATTATTCGGCCCCTCTCAATTGCCCTAATTTCATTTTATTAATAAATTAAAAATAATTATTTTTGTTGTTGTTGACAGTTACAAATAATAATTATCTGATCCAAATAATAATCAGAATTTATTATAGAAAAATTTAATTTAATATGTAGTTCTCAAAAATCAGAATTTTTTAAATTCTCTGTTTAAGTTTTATTTCAAAATTTTCTTTTGGAGAATTCAAAGAAACAGAAAAAAATTTTTTTTTCGGATATCCCAAGTAGCGGTTTGTTGGCGGTCGGTTAACCAAAACCGAAAATCGAAGAAACCAGTTATACCCGAAACATGAGGGTTGGCAGTTGACACCTAGCAGTATTATAATTAGCTAGGGTAATTATCTAACTAGGGTCTAATACTGATTAACACCCTAATATCTCTAATATCCCAACCTTTAGAAGGAACAAGACAGAAATTCTCTTTATTAAAAAATTTTTTTTATTTACAAAATTATTGAATAATAATAATAATAATTAATTTTAATTAATAATTAATTTTTATTCCTCCATTCTTTCCTTTTATTCATTACATTCCTCCATTGTTTAATTAACAATCACTTGTTGCCTTTACCCCCTCCTTCCCCAGGCACTTCTCTCACTTCCAGCACATATTGTTTTGATAATAATAATGGTGAACTGTCAACGTTGGTAGAAGAAGAAGACGAAGATTCTTTAGGTGGAGGAGGAAGTTTTGATGGTGGATGATGAGCTGCAGCCATTCGAGAAATGCAAAAAATACGAAGAATGTGCCAAAAAAATATTCTGAAAAATTGAAGGGGGTTGAGGAAAATTTTCAAAAAATTTTTTAAAATTTTTTCGAAAATTTTTTAACCTCTCGAAATTTTTTAAAAAATTTTTCGAAAAATTTTTTTCTTCCTACATAATAAGTGCAGCCAATGCCCCAGCAAAAGAAGTGTCCACAAGCCTCCCATCGTCCATGCAACATTCATCCTGATAAAATAAAAATAAATTTTTTTTGAGGTTTAGGAAATAATAAAGAGAAATTTTCTTTGTTTTACCTTAGCTTCTTCTGTAGGAAATATTGGGGGAGATTCCGCAAAAGAACCAAGTGGAACAATAAGGAGCATAAAGTTGAAGTTGGCAATAAATTGAAGAAATGTGTAGATTTGCATTGTTTTTGTTGTTGTTTGGATGTTTTGGAATGTTTGGAGGGGATGTTTAGATAAGAGGCTTTTATAGTAAACTTTAAATTAATAAAGTTTGTAAAATTAAAAACTTGGAAGAGTGAGGGAGGAGAACCACGGCTATTTAGGGTCACATAACTTGGAAACTGATGAGCCGATTAAAATGATTTTGGTATCATTTTATAGAGAATTGAATTCTCTACAAAATGAGCCGAGAAGAAAAATTTTTAGCTAAGAGAGTAGAAAAGTTGAAGTTAGAAAACTGAGGCTTGGTAGTGGAGGAGGGTTGGGGTCGTTTTGGCGCCGGGCCGTTTTGGCGCGAGTACAAAAAAGTGGCACTTAGGCGAGACCTAACTTCATAAAAATTTTCTGAAATTTCTTTAACATCCTTGACTACCTGCTCCAGAAATTTCAGAATTTTTCATCAAATATTTCTGAAGTTATAGTCGATGAACCTCGAAAAATTAGGCATTTTTCAAAAAATCAACATTTTTGGTCACAATTTCCGAAATACTCGATCAAAAATTCTGAAATTTTTGGAGAACTTAGTTAAAGGCACGAGAGTTATTATTGCAAAATTTTATCATTTTTGATATCGAACTCGCTATCTTATAACTTTTGAATGGATTGACCAATATAAGTACTTTTGGTACCAATTTATAGAGAATTGAATTCTCTACAACATAGCCAGAAATAAAAATTTTAGTTTTAAGAATAAAAAAGTTGGAGTTAATAAACTGATAAATTCATAAAAATTTTTAACTAATTTATTCAAATTTAAAAAATTAAATATAGCCATAAACCCCTTTATCCTCTTCTTTATTCTTTTTTTATTCATCTGACATTGAGTCAAATGTCCTTCAAATTGTTCTATTTCTCATTCTTTACTCTTTTTCATGTTTTTTTATTGCGCGATTTAAAAATAATTGTTGTGCTTTTCCAGAATTTTTATTTTTCTTTAAAATTTTTAGAAATTTTTTTTTTTAATTTTTTAAAAATTTTAAAGAATTTTTATTAATTAATTATTCATAAATTTTTAAAAAATTCATAAGATTTAATATTTTTAAAAATTAAAAGTCTTCCCTTCCTTTCCTAGTGCGAAGGGAACACATTGCTTGTAGTGCGAAGGGAACATGACTTAAAATAATAAATTAAATTTTTGTTTTGAATATTTTTAGGAACAATTTTGTTGATTTCTGGATATCAAATAAAATTTTTAAAAATATTTTTTAAAAAGATTTTTGTCATTAAATATCAAATTATATTTAATTTCTTCTACAAAAATTGCCGCCCCAAGCACCTGTCCTTTTTTTCCTGTTTTTAGCTTTTTCTCAGGAAATGAATACCCCCTCGTTTCTATTTCCGTTCAATTCTCCGTTTGGCCGGTCAACCAATTAGTTTAGCTGGCTAGCTTAGACCGCCAAAAATTTTTTGAATATTTTTTTATTTGAATATTTTTTTAAGGCTTGGCAAACAATTTATAAATTAATTATTTCCCTATTTGTTCCTGTATTTTTCCCCTATTTTCGGGATTTTTGGATCAACAAAAAAATTATTTTTTTTTGGTTTAAAAATTAATAAAATTATTTTAGTATTTAATTAAACATATTTAAAAGCAACAATGAAAATTTTTATAAAAATAATTTTAATCTTCTCATCAATAAATTCATCATTTTCTGTTTTATATGAACTAGAAAATTCATTAATTGGCCAACCAAATATTAGTTGCCATCCAGACACTATAGAAATGAGATTTAGAACGAAGCGTCCTTTTACTGGGAAAATTTATGTTCAGGTGTTTAATTAGAATTTTTAATTTAAAAAATAAAAAAAAAATAAAAAAAATAGGGTCATTATAGCAACCCAGATTGTAGAGTAGACTTTGGACAGGCTGGAGGTGCTGAACACGATGGACGTGGGGGCATTCGTTTGCATCATGGATCGTGTGATATGGACAGACAGAGAATGGTTATTTAATTAATTTTAATTAAAAAAGATTTTTTTAATAATTAAAAAATAAATTTTTTTAAATTAAAGGTGCAACCGGAAGGAATGCAATTCTCTACAGTTTTAGTTATTTCTTTCCATTCTGTGAGTTAATATTTATTTTTGAAATCAGAATTCTGATTTTTTTGAGTTATAGTTATATGTATTATAGTCATTTTCTATAACCAGAATTCTGACTAATATAAAAATAAACTTGACAAAAACCAGAATTATTTTTATAGCTATTTTTAGAACTAAAAATTCTGATTTTTTAAATTCTGATTTATTTTCCAGAAAGTTATATTCTTTCAGAATTAAAAATAAACTTGAAATAAAACCAGAATTGCTTTCCGGAATAAATAAATATATTTTATGATTTTTCTGAGTTATTTTTCCGGAGAAGGTTTATTTTCTAATATTCTGATTTATTTTCCGGAAAGTTTTTATTCTTCCGGAATTTAATTAATTTTTAATTAATTATTATTTCTTTAGCTTTTCGTTACAAAAACGGATAGAGCATTTCATATAAATTGTATGTATAGAGAAGATAGTCAAACATTAGATTCTGAAATGACTGTAGGGTTGGTATTTATTTTTATAAACCTTTTTATTTACACTTTTATTTTCGCCGAAAAATAATTTTATTATTATTTTGGTTTCCATGGGTGATGGAATGACCAAAATAAAAATAGGGGACATTCAATTTATTGTCCATTAAACAATAAAAAAAATAATTTTCTGTTATATTATTTAAAAAATTAAAAAAAATTAAAAATGTTTATAATTTCATTATTTTTCCTTCTTCAATTAAAAAGGGATGTAACACCAGCAAATATATTACATAATGAATTACCCTTACCTCAATGTCAATATACAATCAGAAAGGATAATATAAATGGAGAACTGTTAAAATTTTCGCGTGTTGGTGATTTAATTATGCATCGATGGGATTGTAGATCTGGTAATTAAAAAAACAGAATTATTAAAAACGAGAGTTATAAATTCTGAAATAAATTCTGTTTTATTTAAGGTATAATATGTATAAAAATAAATTTATTCTGGTATAAGGAATTATTAAAACCAGAGTTATACTGTTTAACTAATATTAATTCTGATTTAAATTCTGATTTAGATAAATTCTGATTTAATATAATCGCATAAAATTAAACTTATTCTGGTGTATATCAGAATTTTTAAAAACCAGAGTTATTATAATTAAATAGTTAAATTCTGAATTTATTTATTTTTTTGACTAAAATCAGAATTTCTGTAAATAAAAAACCAGAATTTATATTAATTAAAAACAGAGTTATATTAATTTATAATTCTGATTTTATATTTAATAATAAAATTTATTTCAGAAGATGAAAAATACAAAAATGTATATGGAATGTTAGTTCATAATTGTTTTGTAGAAGATGGACAGGGTGACAGAGTACAAGTTATTGATGAAAGAGGGTTAGAATAATTTTTTAAATAAATTAAAAAAATATTTTTAAATTTATTAAAGTTGTCATAAAGATCCGAATGTTCTTGGTGATCCAACATATACAAAAGAATTAAATATGGCATATAGAGAATCTTATGTTTTTAAAGTATTTTTTTGAAAAATTATTTTTATTTAAAAAAATAATTTTTTTAATTAAAAATTAATTTAAAAAATATTTTTTTTAGTTTCGCGATAGAATAGGCGTTAGATTTTCTTGTGAAATCAAGCTTTGTGTAAAAGCAGAAAATGGTTGTGATGGAATAACTGTGAGTTGATTAAATTTAAAAAATATTTGTTTCTAAATTAAAAATCAGTTTAGAATTTAATTTCACATTAAAAAAATATTCGTGGAAAAATTGGGAAATAAAGTTAATTTTTTATCCCTATGTAAACCCCCTACCATCTACTCTAGGTTTTCTTATCATAACTCTATTCAATATCGAACTAAAATTTTTATTTTGGTATCATTCGATTCAGCTCGTCAAGTCGCATCGAATGAGCTATAATTCGAGTCTATTAGTTTCTTTGGTTCAATAATTACATTTTTGAAATAAAAGGGGCGGGGCTTAAATATTAAATTAATTTTATAAAATTTGTTTTTTAATTTTTAGCCGCCCGATTGTCAAAACGGTAGGGAAGAGAATAGCAATAATATACACTTTCAAAATTCATTGGATGACTCTTTTAAAGAAAATGTTAAAAATATAACAAATAATTATAACAATCAAAGCTTAATTACCCCAAGAAATAGGGTAAATTAATTAATTTTGAGAAAAAAAATAATTTTTCTTAAAGATAAGAAAACACCGTTCAGTAAACACTAAAGTAGTAGATGCCGATTTATTTTCTCAATATGTTTTTGTTTTGGATGAACCTGTTGATGGGGAAGATGAAAAGGAAGAAAATAATTATTTAAATAATATTAAATTACAAAATTATGGTAAATACACGATTTTAAATTTTAATAATGTAAAGGAAGAAGGGAGATGTAGCTGGTTATAATTTAAATTGTTTACTAGACTGGGGGTTTAGGAACTAATTTTATAAGGGAACATGAAGCAGTATTCTCTTAGTTTAATTGGTAGAGCTGAACTACCACTAGTATTTCAGTTGGATAAAGAACCGGGGATATACTTACAAAGGAGAGGCTGTGGGCCCGAAGTCCCGTGGACACCCCACAGCCTACTCTTTGTTAGAGTCTAAACTAATAGACCAAGACGAGATTTCATTCAAAAATCTAGGCTAGGTGTTGAGATTTTTTGAGATGATCGATTTGAAATCTTGCTCGATCCCAAAGCCTGGTATTTAGCCTAGAGTGTCTCTAGCTTCTTCGAAAGGCCTTAAAGATATATTGAGAGTAGGGTTATCACTTCTGGAACTAACCGAACAGAAGAACCGAGGATTTTTCGGTTCGGTTCTTTAGTTCGGTTTCGGATATCCGAAGAGTTTCCAGGAACCGACAAAACTAATTGAGAGGGTTTGAAAGCCTCAAAAATAAATTTAAAAAAATTAAAGAATAATTTTAATCTTACATTTAATAGATTCAAAATCCTCATTATGTATTAGCACAACATTATTTACCGCTATACTATTAATTATTTTATTTATTTTTGGAATTGCATCAGCAATTATTTTTCATTCAATTTACAGGTTTTAAAGAAAAATAATTTTTAAAAAAAATTGAAAACAAATTTATTTTGTGTCAAAGACTAACAAAAAGCTCCTAAAAAATAAATTTTTATTTAAAAATCACGTCATTTAAAAATTAAGAAAAAATATAGCTGTATATGAGAGAGGTGAATTGCCACATAGCCTACTGATTGAGTGGAGGGGGGGGGGGGGAACCAAAGGTGTTTTCCTTTGACAAATAAAATTTTTTTTTAATATTTTATTTGTGTTGGTCTTTGACGCTATTTATTTGTTTAATTTTTTGTCTGTTAAAAATTTTGTTTCCTCAAAAATTAACTTCCCCTTGGTATCTCCTAAGAGGTGTTAAAACAAATTTTTATCAGTTAAAGGCATAGGATATTAACCTTAAAAACACGTGGAAACAAAGGAAATAAGGGAAGAAAACCTTAAAATTTTTTTTTAATTTTGTATTGCAGGCAACACAAAAAATATCCAACAACCACCTCCTTCCCATTTTCTACTTCCTCCTCTTCTGGTCTGGCCTATTCAATTGAAAAAACATTATCGTCAAGCTTTATTTTACCAAAAACAAAAAATAATGAAGAATTTTATACGAAAAAAGACAAGAAATGGAATGAAATAATTAAATAAAATTATATTGGATAGGGGTACTTTTAATTAAGTTTATGGTATTTTTGGATAGAGAATTAAATTTACTATAAAATATAATAAAAATCAGAATTTCTGAAATTTTGGAAATTAAAATTCTGGTCGGAAAACTGTCAGAAATGGTTATTTTGTCGAGTTTATGTTAGTTTTTTGGCCATAACTTTATTTTTTGGCTATATAAAATTTTGATTTTTATCTTATTTTGTAGATTAGACTCTCCTCTATCCATTGATATCAAAAAATTTAAAAATTATTTATTATTTCATTTATTATGAGGATCGAAATGAATGGGGTCGTTGAGTAGCATTTAGGCATAGTAGCGTCACATCCAAACTCATAATTTTGCCAAATTGGAGGATATATTGATATAAATTTTTACAGACATCCTCAAGTGTGTTAGCTAACTCATGCAAAAATTTAAGAATTTTTGGTTCAGTATTCCCAAAGTTATGGTTATTTGAAGAAGGCGACTTTTTCATTGTTTTTTCCCTTAATTTCTTAAAATATTTTTTTCAAATTTTTTTAAAAATAATTTTTATATGAGTTAGATAACTTCAAAAAAAATTTTTTTGCTAAATTTCATGTTCTAAGTTCACATTTAAAAATTTTACAAAGATGCAACTTAATGATTAATTAACTCACAACTAAGATGGTCCGTCGCCAAATAATGTGCGCGGGTTTCCCTTTTTTTAGTTTACTATTTTTGAAAAATATTTTTTTCGTATTTTATTTTCCAAAACAAAATAATATTTGTATTCCCCTCATATCACTGGAACTGAAAAAAACAAAAATAAAAAATAGGGGGAATTTTCTCAATATTTTATTTTTGTTTGATATTTCCTCATAATAAAATAAATATATGTATTTTTCAGATTTTTTTAATTACACATGTTTCTCATTTTATTTCCCATTTTTCTGCCACGATATATTTTAATGTTGGATTGTTTTTTAAGAAATTTTCTTTTTTAAATTACTGTATGTCAAGTGATTGGAGGTCCCTAATTTTTATTTTTTCTTCTCAATAAAAAAAATAAATATTATTTCCATTTCCCTACTTACCTAGCTTTAAAAAATATTTTTTAATTTTTAATTCCTTAATTTATTTACATCATCTTTCGGCCACATCAATTTGTTAATTGAAACGCCCACTTCCTTATTATTTTTTGTTTTTATTTTTCTTAATTTTTTTTTTATCCAAAATAAAAGCATTTATAAGTCACCACAAGTAAATCATATTCATTTTATTTTTAAAACTTGATAAAATTTTATTTAATTTTGTGTTTTTGTTTATTACAAAAATATTGGTGACTCTTTATGGGGGGTAAAATACATAAATACAATTATTCTGGTTTTATTATTAATGCAAGTTGTAAAGGTGTTTCATAAACCAGAATTAATAAATCAGAAATATTTTATAACTCTAAAATGAATTCTGGTTTTTAATTAATTCTGGTTTTTAATCAATTCTGATAATATAATATATAAATCAGAATTTCTTTTTTAAAATCAGAATTTAATATATAACTATAGTTCTTAATTAATTCTGGTTTTAAAAAGAAATTCTGGTTTATATGATAATATTAAATTCTGATTTATATATTATATTATCAGAATTTAATATTATTGTATAACTCAGAATTTCTTTTTTAAACCAGAATTTTTTTTCAGAATTAAATATAGCCATAGTTCTTTTATGATTATAATTTCAGAATTTATTTAATTAATTTTCATCATCAAAGATTAACACTTTAACCTTGAACATTACATTTTAAGAACAATTTAATCCAAATATTTAATAAAATATTTTATGGATTTTCGCTATTTAATAATTTAATCTTCTTGTTTCCGTTACACAATTCATGCTTTTAAAAATTATTTTTTAAAAATTTTTTACATTTCTCTCTAATTAAAAGCGATCTTATCTTTACATTTTCTTTAAAATAAATAATTTACAAATTTAATTGTAAGGAAAGGGAATTTATTTTTATTTTACTTTATTTTCCGTTAAAAGAGAAAATATGTTTTTGTAATTTAAAATTATTTTTATTTAATTTTAAAAATGCTTTAATAATGGGAGATCTCGAGAACTATAGCCAATCATTTAAATTCCCTATTTAAAAAAATAAAAAAAATATTTCCATACAGAAATTTAATTTTTATTTCTTAATTTTACTAAAATTTTTTAAAATTTAATTTTTGTTTTATTAAAGCTTTAATTTAACTAATTAAATTAATTAATATTAAAAATGAACAAAGCACCACGTAGCAAAGAGGAAGTTGAAAATATTATGAAAATGTTTGACAATAAAAGTAAAACATTGATAAAGCCTGGAGATGTAAAAATAAATTTAATTTTATATATTTAATAATTTTATTTAGGTCGAGAGTGAAAGAGATATAGCAATATATAGAAAAATATTCTATCAATTTTTGACGGAGCCTTACAAAGGTAATATACATATTTCGTATTAAAATCAGAATATAAAAGTATAACTCAGATTTTAAATTCTGATTTAATCAGAATTAATATTAGGTATTATATTAATAAATAGACCAGAATCTTTCTAAACCAGAATTATTAAAAAATCAGAATTATAAATAAATCAGAATTATGGATAAATCAGAATAATAAATTAATAATAAACATAATTCTGGTTTTTTTTATTAAAATCAGAATACAAAAGTATAACTATGGTTTTAATTAATTCTGATTTAATAACCCAGAATTTATTTATAAATCAGAATATAACTCTGGTTTTAATTATTGTAATATGTAAGAGTGACTAAAAGAATAGATTTATATTTCCTTGATTTTTGACATAACAAGTAAAAAAAATAAAATCAAATTTTTTAAAGTTGTATGGGAAAATCTTCGCCCAATGCCTGCGGAAAAGCAAAAATCATATGACGAATTACCCAAAGTTTTAAATGAAAATGAGAGAAAATCCTTGCTTAATAGACTTGTTGTTGTTAAATTAAATGGAGGATTAGGTAAATAATTTTTAAAAATAAATAAAAATTGAATTAAGGTACAACAATGGGATGTAAAGGGCCTAAATCTTTGGTGGAATTAAGCAATGGAATGAATTTTCTTGAATTTGTTTTGCGCCAGCATGAGGTGAATATAAAGAAAATTTTGATTTTTCGAAATTCAGAATTAAATAAAAAAGATATTCTGATTTTTTGTTTAATCAGAATTACTATTCAGAATTATTAATCAGACATAATCAGAATTAATTTTATTTTTAAATCAGAATTTTATATGTCAATGACTTATTTTTTTGAAAAATATTCTGGTTTATTAATATCAGAATTTATATGTATGAAAATATAATTAATATGTTATTCTGATTCATAAATAGAATTATTTTTAATGAAAAATATATTTTATAAACCAGAATTTAATATTAAAATAGAATAATTAATTTTTAAAGATTCTGAATGATGAATTGAAAGACCTAAAAGAAACAAAAGAAATTCCTTTTCTTTTAATGAATTCATTTTGCACTGATATACAAACAAAAAAATATTTGGAAAATAGGGAAAAATCTACAAATTATGTTGAGTGTTTCAGTCAGAGTAGATGCCCACGCATCTATGCGGATACTTTGGAGCCTGTTCCAACAAAATGGGATGATTGCCCAAATGATGGGTAAATTTCTTGAAAAATTCGAAAATAAAATTAAAAAAATAGATGGTATCCCCCTGGCCATGCAAACATTTTCCCAATTATGGCCCATTGCGGATTACTCGATCGTTTATTGGCAGAAGGCCGTGATATTGCCTTTTTTGCTAATATAGATAATACTGGAGCTGTTTTTGATGAAAGAATTGCTAAGGTATTAGCTGATGGAATTACGGATTATATTTTGGAGGTTACACCGAGAACGCCTGCTGACGTTAAGGTCGCTTCATTCAAAAAATATAGGTCCATAAATAAATTTAAAATTTAGGGAGGCACCTTAGTGGAAATTGATGATGGCTATAGACTTACACAACTCGAATGCCCACATGTCCCTGATGGTACATAGAAAATTAAAAAATAATTTTTTTTAATTCTATAATTAATTTAGAACATCAAGACGAATTTCGTTCTTTGAAAAAATTCAAGTAAGAATTAATTAATTATTAAAAATATTTTTTAATTATAGAACGTTCAATACAAATAATATTTGGGTAAATTTGAGAGCTGTTAAAGAAAAACTTGGGCAATTGAAACTTGCTATGTTAGCTAATGAGAAGGTAAGAGTATAGTGAATATTTAGTTGTATTTATTATTATAATTATAAAATCAGAAATTTAATTCTGATTTATATTATTCAGAAATTTAATAATTCTGAAATTTAATAATAATTAATTCTGATTGGGAAAAAACCAGAATAATATTTAAAACAGAATAAGCTCTTGTTCGGAAAATATAATTCTGGTTTATAAAATAATTTTCTATAAAACAGAATTTACACGGAATCAGAATTATAGATTATAGTGTTAATAATATTATAAAAAAATATTTTTTCAGAAATTATCAAATGGCCGCCCTATTCTCCAACTTGAACAATCCATAGGCGATGTTATCCGAAATTTCCCTGGCCGTGCTTTAGCTGTCAATGTATCAAGAAGGCGATTTTTGCCAGTCAAATCAACGAGAGATTTATTCCATCTTCGCTCAAAATGTCTTTTTTCTTTCAATCCTTCTCTTTGTTTACTACAAAAAATAAGAGAAAGTCCCCTTCCGGAAGTTATTCTTTCAACAGAAGAATTTGGAGCTTTAACAGATTTTGAAAAACGAATTCCAGAAATTCCAAAAATACAATCTAATGTTGAAAAGATTGTAATAACGGGAAATGTATTTCTAGGCAAAGGAATACAATTTAATGTAAGTTTACTCTTAATAATATAAAGCTATACGAAAATACAAGGGATTTTCTGATTTAAATAGAGGGACTAAAATTAATATAAATACGAATAATTAAATATAATATAACTCATAATCAGAAATAATTAATATAAATATAAATCAGAATATTTTATAGAATATACTTATAGTTCTAATCAGAAAAATACACATTTTAAAAACCAGAATAAAATTTAAACCAGAATAAACATTAACAAGTTTATTTTGAATTAATATAAACCAGAAACCAAAATTCTGATTTATATATATTTAATTTCTGATTTATATTAATATTAAATAAAATCAGAATTTCTGGGTTATATTAACATCAAATAAAATCAGAATTTCTGAGTTATATTAACATTGAATAAAATCCGAATTTCTGGGTTATATTAACATCAAATAAAATCAGAATTTCTGGTTTATATATCAAAATAAACTTATAAATCAGAAGTTTATTAAAATAAATTTATAACTCAGAAGTCTATTTTGTATTTTCTTTATTATTTTAAAAATACAAAAATTCTGATTTTTATTAAAAAAAACTTTTATATGTTACAATTTAAGGGGAAAAATATAGAAATAATAGCAGAAAAGGGTAAATGTATTAGCATTCCCGACAATTCAATTATAAACTCAAAAGAAGAAGAACATAAAAAACCACAACAAAATGGTTGCTGTCAACAAAATGGGGAAGTTAAAAATAATAATAATAAAGTTGGCAAGATTTTGGTTGATGTGAATGGAAATGACAAGTATTTACTTAAGGAAGAAATTATTTAAAATATAAATATTTTTTTTAATTTTTTTGTTGCCTTTTTCCGTCTATTTTTGGGTTGTAAAAAGGATTATCCTAATTTTCTGGGAAAATTTTGAAAAAAAATTATTATAAATTTATGGGGTTCTCCCTTTTTTAATTTTGCCTTTTTTGGGATTATTCTTTTTTAAATGTATGTATTTTTTATTTAATAAAAGTAGAGAGAATGTTGCCAAATTAACAAAAATTATTTAAAATTATTTTAAAATATTTTTGGGAATTTTTGGGAATTTTTATTCCTTCTGCCTTATCACCTTTCTTATTTTCACTTATATTTACATTTTATTTTTTAAATTATTTAATTTACTTCCTCTTAACAATTTTAATATATTTAAATCTTTAAAAAATAATAATATATTTACATCTGTCTTGTATTTATTTTTCTGAAATATGTATACTTTTCTGTTATTATTACGTAGTAGACTTTTTACTTAATAAAAATGTAATGTTTGTTTGTAGTACATATTTTATTTGTTCTGAATTTTAAAATTCTGATTTAAAAGAAATTCTGATTTTTAATAAATTCTGATTTCTAATATTCTGATTTTTGATAAATTCTGAATTTTTGAAATTCTGATTTTAATAAATTCTGATTGTAAAAATCTGATTTAAAAGAAATTCTGATTTTAAATTTTCTGATTTAAAAGAAATTCTGGTTTTAAAATTCTTCATTTTAAAATTCTGATTTTTATAAATTCTGATTTTCAGAGTTATTTATTACATAAACATGCTTCAATATCTAGCAAGTTTATTAAACACAGACCAGAATATAATGCAAAATACAATTAATTCTGATTAAAAAATACATTTTACTTTGCGACCAGAACAAGCAAAAATACAATAAATTTTAAAATTGTGTTTATTTTGTATTTTACTTTGTATTATTTAATTTCTGTATTTTATACTTTGGTTGAAGCATGTAAGCGGAAATTCGCTCAAAAATTAACACCTGTTAAAAAAATTAAAAATCTTTATTTAAAAATTAAAAAAAAATTTTTTTTTCAAGTATAAATTTTTTTTTGAACAATTTAATTTCCTGTTAATATTTCTTCTTTTTTTCTAGTAATAAAATTTTAAAAAGCACACTCGTCTGTTTAACTTCCCTTTTCACAGCTATTCAATTTCATATAGAAAAAAGACGGATTACTTTTTTTTTTATTTTTTGAAACAAATGAGTGTCTATTTTCATATAAACATTTTTAAAGTACATAAAATTTCCGGAAAATTTTTTATTTTATTTATAAAGATTAAAAAACAGAATTTTTGTTTGTTAAATATAATTGAATATTTTTGGTATATTTTTTTGTTTCTGATTTAAATAAAAATTTTAAAAAAGAATAAAATTTTCCGGAAACCTAAGAACTTAAGACTAGAAACAGGACTGGGAGTGTAGTACGAGAATTGAGACTGAGATCTTGATCTCGATATCTCGATAACAGAGATCTCGGGTTTGTATTTTCTGTATTCTCTATATTTATTTGTATTTTTGTTTTCAATTATTTATTAAATTTTTCTTTTCAAACTTTCCCAACATTTTTATTTTCCTTATTTCATCAAAAAATATTTCCCTTAATTAATTTTAACCAAAAGTTTTGAGTTTAGAGAGTAATTAAAGTTTGATTAATTACTCTCTAAAGCTATGTACTTTTATTTTTTCCGTTTTAATTTAAATTATTTATTTTTTCCTTTGTTTGACTCAGTTCTCTTGACTTACTTCCCACGCTTCTTCATTTTCTTTTTTATTTTTTTTTTATTTTTTTCGAGAGAGACTTGGCTTATTTCTAATTGTTTTAAATTTTATAAAAAATAGAGAATATTTAATTCCCTTTATTTTTATTTTTTTTAAAATTATTAAGAGACCTTCCTAGCCCTCCTAAAGAGAGAAGAGACCTTTATAATTTGTCTCAAGTTAGATCTTCCCCTAAGTCCCCATTATTTTTTTACTTTAATTTATTTAAAAGATATGGATAAAAAGAAGCTTCAAAAAATAAAAATTATTACCTGACTTTATGGCAGAGATCAGAAAGGTCTCCTTGGGAGGAATCTTGTGAAGTCTCTTAATAATTAAAAAATCACAAGTCCCGATTATTTTTACTTTTGATTTTTTAAATTATTAAGAGAATTTCACAAGATTCCTTCCAAAATAGACCTTCCTAATCTTTGCCATAAATCAGATAATAATTTATTTTTTTGAGGCTTCCTTTTATCTATACCTCTAAAATAAATTAAAATTTGGATTTTTGATAAAATTTTTGATAAAAATAGATGGTCCTAATCCTATTATTTTATATTTTTTCTATTTATATTTTTTAATTAATTAATTATTAAAGGCCTTCCCAATATGATCTCCCCTTTCCCTTTCCTATGTATACCTGTCTCAAGTGATTAAAATTTAATTTTCTTTGAGGCTTCCTTCAATCCACGCCTTTAAAACAAAGCTACTATAAAATTAAAAAATTTTAATTTTTATTTAATCTTTTAATTTTCTATATAAAAATTATTTTTA